CCTGGATAGTAATCTAAAAATCTTAACCATCTTTTACTTGTGGGGCTTTGTTGCATTCCTTGGATTCTTTCTTGGAACCCCACCCCAACAAAAACGGTATTACAGATAGAAGGGCATATACGGCTTATTTATTCGTGTCGTTTATTTTAATGTACGGAATAAAAGTACTTTTAATAAATAAGTGATTTTCCAGGAGGGGTCTTGTTTATGTTTTAATGCACGCGGTCATCCTACCTTTTTTGCATAATTTACGACCTACAGTTGAGTGTTTTATATTCCCTTCAAAGCCGACCGCCTCAGTAGTTGACATTTAAACGAAAGGGGTTTAATAAAAAAAAAAGAAAAAAAAAAGAAAACGTTTTTGGAGCAATCTGGAAATTGAATTTGCTGTTGAACGTTTGTCTTCAGGCTTGTCGAACAAGACGGCATCGGTGAAAATCAACAGCTAGAATCTGACATGATATCTAGAAGGCATGTCGATCTAGACAACAACGGTGAAAATAAACAGCTGGAATGCGTCGTGACTCGTGAAATCTAGAAGGCATGCCGATTCAGGACGTTTGACCCCTGTTCTCGCTGAAACTGCGTATGAGGATAAAATAATGATACTAGAAAGCAGAGGTTTGATCTTACTCCAGCCTTTTGGCTTATTTTACTTTTACTCATTCCTTAGTTTGTTTCAACCGAATTGTTTCTCCTTTCATTATGGTCATTGTAAAAGAAGTAAGAAAGGTTTTTGGGGCAATCTGGAAATTTGCGATGCGTTGCTGTATGAGACGGGAGCTGTTGAAGGTTTGTCTTCGGACTAGAAGGCATGTCGATCCAGAAGTCTCTCATTAAAACCAACAGCTAGAATCTGCCGTTATATCTAGAAGGCATATCGATCTAGAGAGTATCGTGAAATTAAACAGCTAGAATGTGTCGTCACTCGTGAAATCTAGAACGCATGTCGATCCAAATGGCACTGGATGAATATCAACATCTAGAATGTGTCGTGAGATCTAGAAGGCTAGTCGATCCAGAACTTTTGCCTGTTCTCACTGAATCTGCATATGAGGATAGAATAATGATGATACTAGAAAGCAGAGGTTTGGCCTTACTGCAGCCTTTTGGCTTATTCTACTTTTACTTGTTTCCTTGTTTCAACTGACTATTATTCAGCTTTCTTGACATCCCTTCGAGCAGTTTATTTGTGGTATCTTTCAAGAGTAGATATTGTTCAGGGATGTTACAGTTCTAATCAGAAGGAATATGAATAATTTCTCATTTCCCAGGATCAAGCTTTCTGCGTGAAAACATCATCATTGACATTGCTACGAAAAGATTAAGTAGAGATTGTTAAAAAATGTTTTGGGAATGTAAATCTCTTTATTACTTTCCCAAGATAACCTCGATTTAAGACCGATATTTGCGGAAAATTATTGTATCCGCTACGATAGATTCTGCAGTCGTTAACGTCGGAAGCGTTTTGAAATTGAGTTATTTTTTGCCGATTTCATGGGAACGGAAGGCTCCGAACGGGAAAATCATTAAAGACAGTCGCAGAGCCGGTTCCGCAGAGGTGTAAATCGGCTATGTATTTCCTACTCGTAAGTCAGCCCCGCTCCTCACCGCAGGCTGCAGCAGCGAAATGGCTTTTGTTCTGAGTCAAGATGGCGGCCGTAGCTGGGGATCGATCGGAGCGGCCATCCGCTGCTGCACTTCGGGCAAGCGCATACTTATTCCCTAGAAAATCCATACTTTTTACCCAAGATCCACCCAGTAAATGTCTATTCACCTTTCCGACCTTTATGTCTATCCACTGCCTAGAACTTTGTTTAAGAAAAAGATCCCTGCAGTTGCAGCACACTTAATTATAACATTTCCATTAACTCTGGCACCACATTTAGTATTTACCGAAAAACGTAGATTTTTGTAAAGATTAAATGTAATTGAACTAGTTTTCTGGTCCTCTAGGAGGATATAAAACAACTGTCGGTCGTCTCGGATCATTTTTGTCTTCCTTTCCATGTTTTGATAATAGATAGCAACGCTGTCATAATGTTTATTTTTTATTCTTAAGACTTTAAGACTTATACACGGGGGTCATCCAATAGAAGTAATGTCCAAAGGGATCTTGTGCAAAATCAAATTAAAATTTCACCCTGGTCTACTGCAATATTATTCAACGGCGAAAATGTAGTTAGGCCGTTTCCGATCGGCTAGAATGTGTCGTCAAATCTAGAAGGCGCCGGCAAAAAAAAAAAAAAAAAAAGGCTAGAATCAGTCATGAGATCTAGAAGACATTTCGATAGAGAAAGAACTGGTATCAAACCACAGCTAGAATCAGTTGTGAGATCTAGAAACCATGTCAATTCGGACGGCACCGGTGAAAACAACATCTAGAATCTGAAGTGAGATCAGAAAATACCGGTGATAAACTACGTCGAAATTCACATTGAGATCTGGAAGTCATGTCGATCTAGATGTAACCAGTGAAAAATACCGGCTAGAATCTGTAGATTGTGTCGTGAGATCTCGAAGCCATGTCGGTCCAGACGGTACCCTGAAAAATCAACAGCTAGAATGTGCCGTGATCTAGAAGTCATGTCGATCTAGATGTAACCGGTGAAAAATACCGGCTAGAATCTGTCTTGAGATGACCAAGACGGCATCGGAGAAAATTAACAGCTAGAATTTTCGTGACTCGTGAGATCTAGAAGCTTTGTCGGTCCAGACGGAACCATGAAAATCAACAGCTAGAATGTGTCGTGAGCTCTAGATGACATGTCGTTCTAGACGGCACTGGTAAAAACAGCAGCTAGAATCTCTCGTGAGCTCTAGATGACATGTCGTTCTAGACGGCACTGGTAAAAACAGCAGCTAGAATCTCTCGTGATATCTAGAAGGCATGATCATCTAGACCGCATCGGTGAAAATAAACCTCTAGAATGTATCGTGAGATCTAGACGGCAACGAAGAAAAATTAGAACTAGAATGTAAGAGGAATGTTTTTTTAATGTCTTAATGTCTTTAATCTCGTTATTTCAAAATTTATTTTATTTAACCAAGATAATGCACTAGAACGTGTTCTTGCTTTTCCTTTTCGAATTTATTTAAATGTTTTTTCATAGGTTTCGTGGCGTCATTCGATGGAGTAAATATTTTAAATGTGCCCTCGAGAATTTATTTTTCTTTTGTATCAATACGTTATTAAATTAATTTTACAAAAGAAAATAATAACCAATAAGAATCTCCCGTTCTTTGGGATGACTGTTTTTCCTGGTTTTATTTCAGGATTGAGACAAACTAATTCCGTTTGATGAGGCGCATATTTTACAAATTCACCCTCGTCCGATACGTAATGAAATCCAGATTTGCTAAATCCCAAGAGGGATCTAGTCTTCCCCTAGGCTGTCGTAAATATTACCCCAGGCAATTGTTAAAATAATAACGTTGTACTTGTTTAAGCGTGTTTTTCCCTGACCAGGTTTGTCAATTTACTGACAAAACTCTCACAGTATTTCCACTTTTACGTACGACAACGGATCGCGATGAGTAGTGGCGATTAGCCACGCTAAATATTTCATGAGAACAGAAGCACGTGTTGACAAACACCTGGCTGGAGTCCCAGATTCCCCTTGAATCGACTCAACATCCCACCACGTAACACATCATCTGATTTATAGTAATCAATAACTAAATGCATTATCTGAATTTTTCTTCATCCACGTCATTGTGTGTGATTCATGTTTTGACCGCTGAAGTAGGTGCCGTTCACAAATCGAGAAAATTGAATTATATTTCTTCTTTGTACGAACATATCGAAAGGAGCCGAATAGACGAAAAACCACAATAGACTATGTCTGGAGATGACGAAAATCCAAATGAGGAAAGGACAAAAAAAAAATAAAGAGAGAAAGGAGAGAGAGAGCGAGAGCGAGAGGTAGGGGGAGAGAGATACTTAAAGGGAAAGAGAAAGAAATAGAGCTAAACAGAGAAATAGATGGGGTTAGAGAGAGAGAGAGAGAGAGAGAGAGAGAGAGAGAAAGTGGGAGAGAGAGAGTGAGAGAGAAAAGAGAGAGAGAGAGAAAGTGGGAGAGAGAGTGAGAGAGAGAGAGAAGAGAGATAAATGGATGGGGTTAGAGAGAGAGAGAGAGAGAAGAGAGAAGTGGATGGGTTAGAGAGCGAGAGAGAGAGAGAGAGAAAGGGAGAGAGAGAGAGTGAGAGAGAGAAGAGAGAGAGAGAGAAGAGAGAAGTGGATGGGTTAGAGAGCGAGAGAGAGAGAGAGAGAAAGTGGGAGAGAGAGAGTGAGAGAGAGAAGAGAGAGAGAGAGAAAGTGGGAGAGAGAGTGAGAGAGAGAGAAGAGAGATAAATGGATGGGGTTAGAGAGAGAGAAGAGAGAAGTGGATGGGTTAGAGAGCGAGAGAGAGAGACAGAGAGACAGACAGACAGACAGACAGACAGAGAGAGAAAAGAGAGAGAGAGAGAGAGAGAAAGTGGGAGAGAGAGTGAGAGAGAGAGAAGAGAGATAAATGGATGGGGTTAGAGAGAGAGAGAGAGAGAGAGAGAGAGAGAGAGACAGAGACAGACAGACAGACAGACAGACAGAGAAAAGAGAGAGAGAGAGAGAGAGAGAAAGTGGGAGAGAGAGAGTGAGAAAGAGAGAGAGAAATAGAGTTAAAGAATGAAATTGAGAGATGAAAGATAGAGAGAGTGAGAGTGAGAGATAATGTTTCGTAGATTCAACGCGATTTTTAAAGCAAACCAATGCCTTTTTAATAGCATTTCATAAAAATAATATTTACCTTCTGGCTCGAAATACAAACCAAATGAAAAGTCAACTTTATCTGGGTCTTTAAGTCCCCATGAATAATTGAATATGAGTATATCACATTCACCGAGATAAGACAATATAGCCCGATAGCCCAATACAGAGAGCTTAACAATAATTATATTTCGACTTAGGATTTTAAATAAACAAAACTATCGCTACAATAGAAAAATCTTTTATGTTCCAGGTCCTAAAGTACTGCGATCACCTCCACGGAAAATGGTACTTCTCAGAGGTGCGGGCCATCTTCTCCAGGCGCTACCTACTTCAAAACGTCGGGATTGAAATTTTCCTGGCAAGTCGAAGTGAGTGAAATTCATCGACTTCTCAACAATTTTCATTTAATATTATAAACAGAGCATAATGGCTTTAATAACTTAAAATCTCAAATAGTATTTACATAACTATTTGAGATTTTAAGTTATTAAAGCATTTATGCTGGAAGTAGTGGAATTTTCATAACGTTGTCGCTTTTTTTGTCTTATGTAGTAATTATTTTTGAAATTTTATTTCAGCCTCGATTATGTTTGCGTTTCCCGACCAATCCACTGTTAAAAGAGTTATTAAAGCACTTCCTCGTGTCGGAGTCGGCATAAAATACGGCATACCACAAACAAGGTAATACTTTCATTTATACTTTTCTATTATACTGTTCAGCATAACATAATAGAACATAGCCATAGATAGCACAAGTGTAGAAAACAAAAATAAACACATTTTCCTTTTGCCTTAGATAAACAATCAGAAATGTAACGCATGAAACATTAATTAATCACAGTCGACCCTTAAGTTTGAAAATTGTATCTATAAATGCAATAAGAATGAGGAAAACAATTTTTGTTCTCTAATAAAAATTATCCCCCCTTTCAATTTTGTCTCAATGATGATTTATATAACCTCAATTCAATGGAAGGAACTTTGGTTGTTTATTAAGTACTGTAAGAACGCCTGGCAATTAGATACAACTTATTAATTGAATTTAACTTCTAAAGCGTGTACCCTACACTTAAATAAGTATTTGTTAATATCTATTTCATTGAACACGTCAAAATAAGTCAGCGAATGCATCAAAAATTTGGGGAAACGCAACACTTGATATCTTGGGTGCCAGGACACAAAGGAATTCGGGGTAATGAAAAGAAAGACAAACTAGCAAGAGGAGCAAGACCATATGCCCTCAACCTTGGGATGACACAAACAAACATGGAATCGTCCGTTTCAAAATCCAAAAAAAACAAAAGGAAAAGTGGTTAAACCCTAGAGGTGCTAGACGGTGTGCTTATGGTAAAACAACTCTCACCAAAACTGGCAAAATCTCTGCTACAGTTAAAAAGGGATAGGAGTGATAGGACTAACAGTCACTGTCATCTGAGAAAATTTCTTCATAATATGGGTATGTTCAATGAAGACCCCATTTGTAAGTTATGCAATTAGGAAGAAGAAACTGAAAAAATCTCAAAACCTCTAGACAACATGGACCGGGTACTGAAGACATAACCTAGGGTCAACATGAAATGGCCATACCTTGAATGTCAAGGAACAAAGGAATTTTGAGCAACGAAAAGGCAGACAAAATGACAAGAGGATCTGCAAGGCCGTACATACGCCCTGTCTCGGGATAACACGACCAAACATAGACTCCTCCCTCAGAATGAGTCCACACAAAATAAAAGAAGAATCGACCAAAAACTCTATAGGTGCCAGAAGCTTAAGTTAAAAGGACCAAAACTCGCAAACTCAGAAGAGGGCATACAGGCAAAGAGAGATCTAAAACGTTGAGAGGAGTGATAGGACTATATACTGATCACTGGCATCTGAGAAAACATCTACATAATGGGCATTCAATGATGAGCCAATTTGTAGATTATCAATGGGAAACAGCCACCTATGTCATCTTCGAAAGTGAACTGCTGAATGGAGAGGAAACCTAGGATACCTAGAATACCCAGAGAAAGGAATTGTAGCAACGACAGTCACCTATTACGTCTAAAGAGAAGGATCAGGTCAATTGAACTGAATTAAGGAACTAGGAAAAGTACAATAAGCCAGGAGGCTGCAGTGCTCGGGGAACATAAAACCCCACTTCCTAGATATCCATCATTATCAACACAAATCCTCGTCTTATCCATCTCGCCACAGCATTTAGGCTCCAGGTCGCAACTGAATTATCCCGAACGCATGCTGTTTTTAAACAAAGCCACTCATTCTTTCTTATTCACATGCCATTCTCTCAAGTAGGGTGGTGGAGTGCTCGATATTCCTCCATCACACATATTATAGAACTAACGATCTCACACTATTACGCTAATAAATATATTCACTCACAATATAAACAAAATGAAACACAAAACGATGGTAGATAAACGTGCACCCAATAAAACCTTGTTTCCTCCAAAAATTTGAACGGGGTCCCAAATACTCCTTGCCTCCTCGAGCATTCTTATATCAGGTGGCATTCCTATATAAAGCCAAGAAAACTCCAATTAAGACGGACACATCCAGCAACCTTCCTTTACTTACAGGGTACATACGGGGGCGTTGGCCCAAAAGTAAGTGTCCGTGTGTCAACCTAGCATGGCCTATTTTTAATCGGGTGCGGATGATACCTCTTTTAAGATTCAGATCTTCGTAGGTTCATCGAGCATAGGAGTAAATATTCGTTTTTTTTATTGAAGTGTGATCAGTAAATTATCACAATGCTTGCCTTAACGTAATACTTAAATTACCATATCTAAAGGCCCTCTCACACTTTCACGCTAATACATTCACTCCCAATATATGTATCTATACAATAAAACAGCCCTTTTTGCTCCAAAAATTGAAACATAAGATACCAAAGATTCGATGTCGTGCTAAAGCACAATTCTCATATATACTTACCCGCATTCCACGTGGAGCAAATGTTACAACCTTTCTCCACATGTCGGACACTGTTCAAATCCTCCGAGGGTCACCTATTGACTGTGCTCTTGCTTTGGTTATTTTCCGAACTTTTGTACGAGAACTCAGAAAACTACTACTGTTATTATAAGATGTTCCAGTTCAGTGTATCTCCCCAAGGGTCCATGGACTTAATAAAAAGAATAGGACTTAATCAAACGAAAATAACATTGTTTGAAGGAAAAGAACAAATCTTGCAGTGTTTGGAATCACATACTGCGCAAAATTTACGTTTATAGATTAATAGATATCTATTGATAGATTTACGTTCTTCAAGATTGTAGTGTCAACGTGAAAACGGCCAGTAACGACTGACGAGCAGTTCTTTTCCATTTTAATCCTTTTTTTCTTTGTTTTCCTAGACGAGCTTCAATGATGTCTCCAAGGCAGCTGATGAGGAATTCGAACATGACTCAAAAATGGCAAAGACGGGAGATATCCAATTTTGAATATTTGATGTTCCTCAATACTATTGCAGGTACGTTTTCGGCAAAGTCAACAAAATTTCGAATTAAATGTGAATTAATCCAACCTAAATAATCCGGGAAAACGGGTCAAAACTCTAGTAAGAAAGCGCAAAATATACACCCAGGATCCGCCAAAAAGTAGCTGCATCGTAGATGTCAGGAGACCGGTTGTAAACTTGATGGATTGCCCTATCCTTAGGCATACTTTCATCTTGCAGAATAGGCATAATAATTAACATTTCCTGTTGGTTAGGTAGTTAGGAAATGATATAACATGAGCTTAAATGTTGTGTTAAATGTAAGCAGTACAAATGGTAAACAGGGTGGGCCCAAGAATGAACCCCTGTGGGCCTACCTCTCTATGAATCGGCGATAAGTTGAATGAATGAGAAAATCTCTGTGCCAAAATCAGTTAATAAGTACCAGCCCACGTGCTTTTTTCATTAAAATTATGGAGAATCATGTCCACCACTCTAGCCAGCTGCATGGAAATGTGTCTGAAGCCATATTGGCAAAGTAATGTCATTTTCCATTTAAAATATGCCTAATTCTTAGCAGTACTACTTACTCTGCAATATTTGAGACTAAGGAGTGATATTGGGCGATAGTTTTAGGCAGGGTGTGATCTTTTAGGTTTAGGAATAAGGACGGCGTTTGCTATTTTCCAGGATGATGGGAAATAACAACTATTTGGATGCGATTTTCTTAGTGTGGCATTACTCCAGAGATTTTTTACAAAGGGTGTTAAGTTACCATCTCGGAAGCGTTCTTATTTTTCATGTTGTTTTCATTTTACCCCTTTGAGGGTAGCATCAGAGTATTCCTGTTGGATGGAAAAAAAGAAGTCCCAGGTGTTCTTGGATGTTGGTGATCGCATGAATTTTGGATTTGGGATAGAAGGTAAAATTGTTGTATCATCTGCGTGTGTGGTAATGGGATGTATCGGAAAAGCTGTACAAATGGTAAACAGGGTGGGCCCAAGAATTAACCCCTGTGGGCCTACCTCTCTCTGAATCGGCGATAAGTTGAATACGATTCCAAGATAAGGTAATAAATAGTGTTAGGAAGGTTTTACGCTCATGCAGGATGCCTGGGTGTCCGACCCTACCTCTAACGTACAATCCTCGTTCTCCAGAATGGAGGAAAGGATGTCAACAGCAATAGTAATATCTTAGTGTCTAAAGTCGAGTTTTGGAAGGATTTCAATCCTAAAAGTGTGGTACTTTCCCTCTGGTCTTGTGTGAGGATTCCATATCACTCTGCGGTCTAGGTATAGTCCTAAGTAATTCACTTGAGTAAAAGTCGCAAGATCCTTGTTGATGTACAGTGAAGGGCAAAACTGTTTTCTCAATATAATTGACGTTCAGTTTTGGCCTCCAGTTTTCGCAAACAGTCCAGGTATTTTTGTATGATGGAGATCGCGTGAATAGGAAAGCTAGAAGACAAAATCGCTGTATCATCCACGTAGGTTGAAATGATAATATCGAAAAGTCAGTAAAAATGGTACCAATAATGTAGCCTTGTGAGACATCTCACTCTGAATCAGCAGCCAGTTAAATACGATTCCAGCATAAGGTAATAAGGAGTGTGTACGAAGGCTTTAGGTTTATGGAGGTTGCCTGGGTGTAGTATAGTAATAGTAATGTCTTCATGTTTAAGTTAATCGAGTTGTGGAAAGATTTCAGTCCTAAAAGTCTGCTGTTGTCCTTTCGGTCTGAGGATTATATGTCACTATACGGTCTATAGTGACTATACGGTCACTAATAGTCTTAAGTATTTGACCGGAGTAAAAGTCGATAGCTCCTTATTGATGTACAGTAAAAGGCAAGACTGTTTTCTCAATGAACATTTTTTCTCATTATGCCTGCCGTCCAGTTTTTAAACACAGCAGATAGGCTCCAGGTATTCTTGGACGCCTTGTCGGTGATCTCTTGAATAGGAGGATAGGAGACTAAATTGCTGTATCATCCACGTAAGTGGTAATGGGATGTATCAGAAAAGCTGTAAATGGTAAATATGGTGGACTGAGAGTGAACCCCCTGAATCAGCGATCAGTTATTGACTTTTTTGTAAATGAGACAACACCATGATTTTTCGTTCATGGAATGTACTTTCTCAAAATAAACAGAACTGCAGCCTTCCTGGTGGGGTCATATTCATAGGAACTAGAGGAAGCAGTGTTATTAAAAAAGAAGGTATATGGTCTTTGAAATTGATTTGATAGCTTTGTACAGTTTAGGGTCTCCAGCAGAAAAAAAATGGGATGATAGATGAATTACTATCACAGCAGTCAAATTTTTCAAAAATATAAATTGTTTTACACGCAGATCAAAAGAAAATGTATAAACCAGATTTAAACAAAAAATTAAATTTTTTATAAGGCGAAAGTTCAACGGCCAAAATATTCACCAAAGTTAATATTCATAAAGAAATTTGACCATTTATATTGGAAAGTCGACTACCGAGGATTTCAAATGCAGGATTTTGTTTTACGGGAGTATTTCAACTACGAGGGTATACAAACCCTCGGGGGGCCGCTGGATTCGAACCCGGGACCTTTACGTTGACGTTACAGTGACGAGCGCCTTATCAACGCCTAAACCGTTGCCGGTACCGACGTCCTTTAAAAAAAAACAGGATTGAATTTGAAATGAAGGAAAATTAACGCAGCTTGGCACAAAGAAAAAACCTCGTCGCTTCCCGATATGGCGGCGCATTCTGCACGTCACACTGGTGATTTATATCTTCTTTGTTTTAGTCTAAAATTTATAGTAGTGCCTTGGCATTTTTCTTTCAAAGACATTTTCTTCTTATATGGTGTAGGTTTTCAAGAAAAAAAAAAAGGTCCTAAGTAGAAGGTCTGTTTTCCCTCTATATATATTGACTTATACTGAAAATGTCCCTGTACATGACAGTATATATTATAAATTTAAAACCGCAAATGGTACAAATCGATCGTACAATGAACGAGGAATAACTTAATTTTATTTTTAGCTCGACTCCGTGCAAGCCAGGATTTTCTCAAAATAGAAACTTCCTCTGAAACCAAATTAGTATTATGCCAAGACCAATCAGAAAGGGAGCCTTTACCTGACAGACGAAATTATCTAAATTATAAGTCGACGGTGTTCTATCTTTTACAGGAAGGTCAATTTTAAACCTAGTGCTACGAGTCGACACGTACTTTCAACTTTTTGTTATTCTATTTTTATTTTTATTCTCTCCTTGCACGACCTAAGGCTTTTGTTTGACAACCCCAGTTGGATGAAAAATTTCAATTTAAAATTTCAGAGAAATCAATAAATAGTTTACTAAGCTTCAACCACTTTGTAATTTGGCCTATCTATGCTCTCTGGGTTGACCATGTCTATATCATGGTTTTTTGAGGCTTGAGAGCAACCGAATATTTTCTTGTATTTTACAGCCTGCTCCCTTTAAGATTACAGGATTTTACAATTATAAAATATTTTAAATAGTACTGACAGGCAAAAAATTCCACCCACTTGTAATATAACTTCATTTGTATATATTTTTATATATTAATCAAAGTTGCACGTTTTATAACGTTTAATAATTGAGTCTTTGTCTACAAAAGTAAAACAAAATGTAAATTGATAAGGAAAATGAAAAATAAAAAATTTAAAAAAAGACGAACAGATAAAATTTGTTTATTAAACTTTTAATTAACATTTCAGTATCGCGTATTTCCTCCTCTTGCCTTAATTACACCTCGAAGACACCTCGGCATACTTTCTACCACTCTGCAAATATCTCATTTCTGGAGGTTAGCCCATTCTTCACGAAGAACATTTCAAGATCGTGGAGCGCATCAGGAAGTGATGGACGTGTTCTTATTCGTCTTTTGAGGTTATCCCATAAATGTTCGATGAGAATCAAGTCTGTAGAGCTGGCTGACCAGGTTAAGACCCTGATGTTATGCTGTTGAAGGTACATTTGCACTATGCGAGCGACATGTGGACGGGCATTATCGTGCTTTAGAATAGGAGTGTCGCTGATTTAATCGAGGATAGGCAACGCATGTTGTTCCAAAATATCATCGACATAGCGATTGGCCATCAAAGACCCTCCACGGATAACAACCAACTCTGTGCGATTCTCCATTGAAATTACCGCCCACACCATCACTGAGCTACGTTAAAAAAGCTGGCTCTGGGAAAAATTGCAGGCTTCGTACCGGTCATTTCGCCTTCGCACTCTTTCAAGCCCATCTGAAGATCGTACACCAAATCTACACTCATGTGTAGAAAATACAGCAGACCAATCGTCCAAAGACCAATGGTTGTGTTCTTCTCGAGCAAATGCGAGCCGTGCAACTCTGGTCAATTCTGGTCCTTTTCTGGGTCGAAAAGCCATCAGTACATACTGATTTAATCGTCTTCGAGCAGACATTTGGACACCTCGAACTTCCTGGAGCTGATGAATCGCTTGAACAACAGTAAGGTGCCGGTTTCGCACAATTTTCAAAGTCAAAAACGGTCATCCTGTGTTTCTGTTACCCTAAGGCGTCCAGAACCGGGCCTTTTATGGTAGGACCCAGTTTCTCGAAAACGTCTAACCGCGCCTCGCAGAGGTTCGGAGGGAACCCCGATGGCAATAGCCGCAGACCTGATGGAATGTCCATCATTAATAAGTGCCACATCACGTACAACATCCTCAGCACTAAGTGGCACTTTTAAGTTTAAAAATTGAAATAAAGAAAACAAAGATGAAGCTAAACATTTTAATGCTTCAGAATTCAAATGAGACTGGATAAACATTATAAATTTCCGCAAAAAGTAAACATTGAAAAATCTTTATCCATGTTTTGGATTAAGGATTAAGTATGTTTACCTCTAATTGATATTCCCTATTTAAAACATAGCATAAACAAATATTGATTGGTAAAACAATGAGGCAAATTAAGGGCAGAATTTTCTTTTATAGAGAAAATGAAAAAAATAGATTGGATAAAATTTTTTGGCTGTCAGTGTGTCAGTTAATAGTAATATTAGTTTTAAATAACAACTACAATTTTTTCACTTCGCTTTTTAACTGGCAATTATGATTACAATTTATCTATCTATTTATTTATTTTATTTTTTACCTAACTTATTGAATTTTTTCAAAGTCTATATTATTAATAAATTTACAAAAATCTTTATGTTGATCTTTAAATAATTCCTGAATTGTTGTAGGCCAGGTTCCCCCTTGAGTTATTATTGATCTTATGTCTCGAAGATTCGTGCAGTTCGCAGTGCAGTATGACGTGCTTCCAAGTGTGAGATTATGATGTCCTGCAGTTGCATAATTCAATAACCTTCAGTTTAATCCTGTAGAGATATCCCTTGTGTCTACCGTGGTTGCTCAGTACTTGGGTCAGCTTAGGAGTACGGAATGTCTTGTGTTTTCCTCGATACAACCGTCGGAAAAAATGTTTTCGCCCATTTGCCTTCTTGCAGCACTCCATGTATTTTTTGATCAATCAGCCTTCAGCTTGTACCTCGTCTCAAGGCTTGTGATCGGTTCATTTTCGACTTCAACGTGAGGAGAAAGTCCTGGGCTGCCTCTTTAGCCGACCTATCTGCCTCTTCGTTTCCGTGAATCCCCTGATAAACCTTGGCCCACGAAATGCCCAACCTCCATCCCCTATGAGCAGATACCTCGTACAGTTTTTGGCGTGTTCTTTCCGAAACAGTCAAATTGATACTACTACTTGTCTATCTGCCTATCTGATATTTTTTGGCTGTTCTCGTTTCTAGCCATTCAAGAGCTCAATAGCACGTGACTCTGCCTGGTTATTTGACATACATCAGCCAACTTGATTTTTCGTTCACATATAAGATTACCCGTACTTCTGGAAGACGATTAAGGCGCAACCCACCTTATTATTCAACTTGCTTCTATCTGTAAATATGGTATTCTGTGGAGTATAACCCTCTTGAAGATCTAGCGTATATGCTGCTGCAGGGTGTGACCATTTCTCTAACGGTAGAAGATGGCCATAAACGTTTTCACTATCGCTCCTTTTTCTATCAACTACAAGTTCATGGTGAATTTCTACGAACTGTTTCATATATAACTCTATCGGGGACTCTCTCGCAATCATACATACAAAGAGGTAAATGGTCTGGGGACCCTAAGTTACCCTTAAGAGCATATTACAATTGTACTCGACGAATTTTTTTACCCGTTTTAACCGCCTGACCACAAACTTGATCTCCATAAATTAAAATTGGGGCACTAGCTCCTTTATTGATGCTTCTGGCTGCAGCACAGCCTAAACCCCAGTATACCCTTGCTAATCTGGTTAAAATGCTGGTTATTTTTTCTGCTCTGTCACTTGGTGGTCCCATTTCAGCTTTTTATTGATTATGATGCCAGAGTATTTTAGGGTTTCGACTTGTTGGAGTTTTTCACCTTTTAGGTAAATGTTAAAATTCCATGGTTGACACGTATTTGAAATGTGTGGTGATTAGTGACCGTTAATCGATAATTATTCAGAAATTGTGAGATGCGATCTGGTGTGATGTAGGCCATAAGAATGGCACAATTACACAGAAGACAAACACTGAGCCTTGAAGATGATCTCAATAAAGATCGAAACGTTGGCACGATAAAGAAAATGTTTTTCAGAAACCTACATCACACCAGACCGCATCTCACGATTTCTGAATAATTACTTATTTGAAATATGTATTATTTGTGATTTTCCGGGATTTCAATTTATTCATAGTTGACCATTCCTTTGGACGAACTTTATATGTTCGTTTTGCCTAATGTACTGGACTTTAGAAAACAACTGAAATGTACTAATAGATGCAACACACGAATACTTCGGACCTTCTTTCTTAAGGTATATACTTTCATTTGCCAAAGACTCAAGTGCAAACTCATCCTCTGCCAAAATTATAAGTAGTAAATCGCTCGCATAGGCAATTACAACAACACCGGGAGGAACACGCATTTACAGCAGAGAGAGGGACAGGATGTTTCAGAAAACTGTCATATTTATAAGATATTTTCATTAAAATGAATGAGATGAGCCTTTCTTTGCATGGGAAGGGTATCACAACTTTCAATGCTAACACAAAGTTCGCCTTCAAAAGAAATATCCAGGGTTGAATATGTTGTGAAGGAAGAGGTGGTGTTTTCCTTTGTTAAATTATTTTTTAAAAAGAAATCAAACTGCAGCTTGCGTTGATTGATGAAATAATGTAAACACCTTTGATGTTTGGAGATGTCCTATGAGCTCTACTTCTTCCCAACAGCTCAAGATACGACACTGCAAGACCATGATGGGTGGTCAAACCGTTTTCAATTTAGATAAAGCCATTCCTTGGCCAATTTTTTTTAGAGAATTTGTATCAAATGTGAGAATATAACATCAACTTTTTTTATATATTCTCTATTCCAGCATTAAAACCTAACATTAAACGAAAAAACTTGTAAAAAGTAATTAATTTAATTATTAATTTATAGTCACATGAAAACTTTTTTAGAGGCAAAATTTGATCATTAATTCATTTTTCTTCCCACAGGACGGACATACAATGACTTGAACCAATACCCAGTATTCCCTTGGGTTCTGACTAATTATGAAGCAAAGGATCTTGATCTAAGTTTACCTGCAAATTACAGAGATCTTTCAAAGGTCGGTTGGAAAAATCAATGTGTCAAAAAATTGATGTTTATTGATGATGATTGAAAAATCAATGTATTTGTCTTTGACTGAATTTAATTGTTAAATTTCAGCCGATTGGTGCTCTCAATCCAAGCCGAAAAGCTTATTTCGAAGAACGGTATAACAGCTGGGAACATGACAGCATTCCTCCTTTTCATTATGGCACGCATTATTCCACAGCTGCGTTTGTTTTAAATTGGATGATTCGAGTTGTGAGTAGCCAAGAAATAAACTATATTTATTAACACCTTTACAATTTTTTGTTTTTTGGCCTGTAGGAACCATTCACTACCATGTTTCTCGCTCTTCAAGGTGGTAAATTTGACCACCCTAACAGGCTTTTCTCTTCTATCTCATTATCTTGGAAAAACTGCCAGAGGGACACATCAGATGTTAAGGTTCGTAAAAATTAATGAAAAATACAATTTTTGAAAATAATCGTCCAATTTGATTATTGCAGGAGTTAATTCCAGAGTTGTTCTTTTTGCCGGAAATGCTCGTCAATTCAAACGATTATAAGCTTGGCCAACAAGACGATGGTACATCTGTAGGCAATGTTGAACTCCCACCCTGGGCTTCGACACCTGAGGAATTTATAAGAATAAATCGAATGGTCTGAAATTATTTTATAATTTTTTTTCTAGTTATTATTATTAATAAATTTATTCTTTCATTACTTAAGGCGTTGGAATCAGAATTTGTGTCCTGCCAGTTACACCAATGGATTGATTTAATATTTGGTTACAAACAACGAGGTAAACTTCATTCAGTTTTACGCTGTCCTTGTGTTTTAATCATTGAATACTGAAAAGTAAATTGAATTAAAAATCGTTTGGAGTAAAAATTCTTTTATATTAGGTCCTGAAGCAGTGCGAGCGACAAATGTTTTCTATTATTTAACTTACGAAGGAAGCATTGACATGGATGGTATAACAGATCCGTTAATGAGAGAAGCAATAGAGAACCAAATCCGTAATTTCGGTCAAACGCCTTCTCAATTATTGATGGAACCACATCCACCAAGAAGTTCTGCTATGCACATGGTTTGTAATATTTCTGATTATTTAATTAACAACATTTCTATTTATATAGGATAAGATGTTTACAACACATAATACCAAGAGGATAATGCGTCAGTTCATAAAGAAAAAGTGTCTTTAAAATTTCACTGTAAATTATAAAATATTTTCTTTCTCATGGCTTCAAAACGCACAATTCATGGGTAGTTATTGTATGAATTTAACCTTGTACTAGAGTGGCTGATGCTGCTTGTAAAATTTGCATTGCATTTGGAGATGAAACGATAAATGAGTGCACTGCTCAAAATTTGCTTCTGGGAATGAGGGGAGTGAAGATATGTCTGGTAGCATATTCCAGACATCCAAAAGTGATCCTGTTCAAAGTCTAAGTATATTTTCACCCAAAACACATGAAAATCAACAGCTATTTTAATCTGTTGTGAAGAGATGTCAATCCAGATGGCACCGGTGAAAAACACCAACTAGAATCTTTTGTGAGATCTAGAAGACATGTTGATCTAGATGACACCGGTGAAAAACAACAGCTAGAATCTGTTGTGAGATCTAGAAGACATGTTGATCTAGATGACACCGGTGAAAAACAACAGCTAAAATCTGTTGTGAGATCTATAAGACGTGTTGATCTAGGTGATACCGGTGAAAAACAACAGCTAGAATCTGTTGTGAGATCTAGAAGACAATGTTGATCTAGATGACACCGGTGAAAAACAACAGCTAGAATCTGTTGTGAGATCTAGAAAACATGTTGATCTAGATGACACCGGTGAAAAACAACAGCTACAATCTGTTGTGAGATCTAGAAAACATGTTGATCTAGATGACACCGGTGAAAAACAACAGCTAGACCTTTGGTGAGAACTAGAAGATATGTCGATCCAGAAGGCATCGGTAAAAAACAATGACTAGAATGTGCCATAAGAACTATACAGTACTGTTGAAACCAACTGCTGCCACCATATTTACCTAAAATCCTAGCTTTTTTTAAAGGTTAAATGTAACTGTAATGTACTATTTTTCTCATCCGCTAAGAGGATGTCTTCATTCATAGTCTATTGTGGTATTTATTTATCTGCATACATACTTATGACAACAAGCTTTAGTGTCTAAGCACTTACCTTAATTGCTTTCATGGCACAAAATAGACTTTTTTAACCATATTATCACACACGAGGAAAAATGATCCTGTACAGTAACACCAGGTCACACCTTTGGCTTTCACCAAATATTCACCAATAAAAAAAGGTGATGCTTTGTGTTTGGTGGATTATAGCAGGCATTGAGTACTAAAAACTCTTGCTGTGTGGCCAAACATCACAACAGAAATCTACTCAACTTAACTGTAGTATCTCTTGCCATGGCCCAGAAACAAACTGCTGTTGTAAACAGAAAGATAATGAAGTTGGTTGGGAAGTCCTACCACATCCTAGAAACATTTGGGCAATTAGCGGTTTGATAATCAATAAATTTTTAGGGACTTATTTTTCTACAATGTTAAGTTCAAAAATCTTATTTAAAATATTGACATGTTTTTATTGCGCATTTTAGAGCCCGATGATGTTTTCGGCTGTGCCAGATGATGTTTGTATGACAATGAAATTCCCATCCAATTCTGCAATTTGTCATATCTCAGCAAACACTTATCCTCAGTTACCACTTCCATCAGTTGTCACTGTGACCGCCAACTACCAATTTGCAGTCAACAGATGGAACTCTAACTATGTTGGTAAGTAAAAATTTTCCAATTATTTTTCATGATCTATGATAATTTGTTGAATCAAAACGCAATTAATTATTCTTCACTGTCATAATTTTTTTAAAACTTTTACTGGGTCCATCTAGCTTTGTACCATCTTCAGTGAGGATCTGATGATTGATCATTCTAGGTCCTCACTGACTAAACAATTCAATGTCAGTTTGACAAAAAGATCCATTTCCTCTTTTCTTTATTGGTAAACTCCTAATATGATAGTTGTATAAGTATATAACTGTTTGATTATTTATTTATTAAAGTAATTAATTTATAATACTGTCTGTTTGATTTGTAGCCTCTGTTCAACCGCCAAGTTATGCTGAAGCCCCCCAAAACCAAGCATCTAATTTACCACTGTCAATGGACCCTTTGTTATGTACGTGTAAAGATTTATCAAAACCCTGTTTTTAACTTATAAATCCATAAATATTGATTTTTGCATAGTTCAAAATGCGAGCAATGTTAACATGGCCATGCGGCGCCATTTGGGGGACAACTTCAGCCAAAAACTCAAGATCAGGTCGAATTGCTTCGTTACCACTGTGGACAGCCGTTTCTTAGTCGCGTGCGGTTTTTGGGATAACAGCTTCAGAGTGTTTTCAACAGAAACAGGTAAATCTTACCCGATTTAAGTAATATGTACAAAAAGTTTGCAGTTTTACTCATAATTTATTACTTTAGAAATATTTTAGCCTAACTTGATCTTGTCTGATATCCTGGTGGTCTGTAACTGGCGTTTCACCATCTTCATCCGTTTGTGTGATATTTAACACAGATCAACCACTGAGAAAAGCAAAAAAGCCAAAGCAAATCTTAAAAAATAAGAAAAAGTCAGAATAGGCCCACCAGGACAATTAAAGACAATTTAAATAATTAACTAAATGTGCATTTATTTGGAACCAAAACATTAAGTATTAACAATTCTTGGAATTTTTGTTTTAGCCAAAATTGTTCAAATTGTTTTTGGCCATTATGGAGTTGTCACATGCTTGTCAAGATCTGAGTGCAATATAACATCAGATTGTTACATCGCATCTGGTTCTGCCGACTGTACTGTCCTTCTGTGGCATTGGAATGCAAGATCTCAAACCATAGTTGGTGAAGGTGATATACCAACACCACGAGCGACACTTACTGGCCATGAACAACCGGTGACAGCTGTTGTCATTTCTGCCGAACTGGGGCTTGTCGTATCTGCGTCAGTTAGTAAGTTTAGAAAGATTATTCTCATGTATTCTACCTTTTGTACACAACTTATTCTTTATTTACATAGTGACTTTTATTTATTTATTAAGAATTAATTGTCATGCCAATTCAATATCAGTAATTGTATGTATATTTATTTTTTAGATGGACCAGTTTTAGTCCATACAACTTTTGGTGATTTGTTGAGATGTTTTGATGCGCCTGAAGGCTTTGTCAGCCCTGAAAGTATAACTATGGCCCGAGAAGGTGTAATCGTAGTAAACTATGAAAAAGGTAACATTGCTGCATTTACAAGCAATGGGAAAAGGCTAAAATACGAAATGCATGATGATAATCTTCAGGTACATTTCCATTATTTTGTTTTCGTATTTATTTAATTGGACTAGTTTCATATTGTTCATTTTTTTTCAGTGTTTATTGTTGAGCAGAGATGGTGAATATTTGATGACTGGTGGCGACAAAGGTGTCGTAGAAGTATGGAGGACATTTAATCTTACTCTGCTATATGCGTTCCCAGCGTGCGATAGCACAGTTCGTTCTCTTGCTTTGACACATGATCAGAAGTAAGTATAAAACTAACATTTACTTTAACAGACCAGCTCAATAGCATAAGTTCCCAGTAATGCAAATTTGATAAGGAATTAGGGCAGACTGGGAGAAAGACATCCCAGTTAATGCCTGTGATATACGACTAGTAGAACCTGCAATCGTGGGTTCGATTTTCAGGTAAATAGTTCATTAAAGAATCATCACAGAACTACTAACGTGTGTTACAACAAAAATTATAGTAAGACTGTGGACAGGACAGGCTTTTTCCTTACATGGTCTGTCGTAATTAATTGTTTCCTTTAGACATAGTATGCATTAGTCATCTGTTAGAGACTAGAATTTTTTTAATGTGGTACTTCATTGAAGTGTCTTGTAAAAGTACCTGTTAGGATTTTTAGTATCTTTGGATTGATTAGTCCCTTTCTCTTTGGTTTTTGCAAGTGTGTTTCTTTGGTTCGTTGCCATAGAAAATAATATTAGAGGATGAACCATGCCACGATCTCTAAAGAAATGGCCTGGCACATGTTCCCAGTGTCTGGTGCATTATTTTCCTAATTCTATCCTAACCCATCCCAAACTGTAAACTTTCATAACTTTGTTTTAACCTAACCTGTCCCAAACTCTAACCTACCCTGCCCCTAATTCTAAACTTCCCTAACTCTAACCTAGCCTGTTCTAACTTAAACTAACCTAACACATCCTTAACTTAACTAACCTGTCTCCAATTCTAAATTTTCTTAATTCTAACCTAAGCTAAATTCTAACTAGCTAAATTGAATGTAACACGTCTTAAACTTAACGTACCCTGACCTGTCCCTAACTCTAACATACCCTGCCCCTAATTCTAAACTTCCCTAACTCTAACCTAACCTGTTCTAACTTAAACTAACCTAACTAACCGTCTCCAATTCTAAATTTTCTTAATTCTAACCTAAGCTTAATTTCTAACTAGCTAAATTTAACGTAACACATCTTAAATCCCTACCTCTAATCTAAACACATCAGTTCTTCTTACTCATACCATAAAAACCATTTGGGCCAATGTATGTATGAACAATTTTTACAGACCTTTTCCTACTTTTTCATAATTACCGAAGTCGTTGTAAAGACAAAAAGTTGTAATGGAAGATGCTGAGTTAGCGTTAGCATTAGCCTCATATAAATTTGTTTGATTAATATTGCTTTATTAATTGTCAGGTTCCTACTTGCCGGACTAGCTGCAGGCTCAATTGTGATGTTTCACATTGACTTCAACAGGTGGCATCATGAGTTTCAACAAAGATATTAGTCAAGGCTCCAACTTCTTAAAAGAATTTTCCATTGCAAATGTACTTATTGACTTTAAAATGCAGATTAAATTAGTAATTATTAAATTAAAAAAAAAAACAACTACTGTTTTCTTGTTTTACTGGCTACTTATTAATTTATTATATAATGTCAGAGCGTATTTAAACTAAATAATATGTTAATTGTAGGTGTGTTAGTATTAATGCAAATTGTAATGAAATAATTGGTTTTTAAATTTATTTATTGTTTTAAAATTGAGAAATAAAAATATTGCTCTTTTAAAATCCTTAAAGATTAAAAAAAGGAAAAGGATAAATGAGTTTAACATAAATGACTTTAAATCTTTTTATTGTTCGTGTTTATTTACTTGTAGTGTGTCTAAAAATATGAAATTATTCAAACCCTTAAGCAATTTCTTACAGTGCTGCTAGCATTTATTACTAGTGACATATTGGGTTGATGGTTAAGCTGTAAAAGCAATTCCATGGAGGTCATATTATTTTTTTGTAAAATATAGTATATTAATGATATGCTGTTACGTCTAAATACGACGTATCAATATCATTGAGTGTCAAAATTAATATTATTTAACTTGATTGTTTAGCACAACGTACACTATGTCTCACAACCCAAAAGAAAAAACCTGTATAACTGGAAAGTATAAAACAATTTTGTGCAAAAAAAAAAGAAAGAATAGTTTACAATTGTCAAGTGAATTGATTAAAACTATAAATAATTAAGCTAGAAATAGATTTAATTTCTCAAAAAAAAAAAATGTAAGAATGATGAGAAGACGGAATAACGTCAAAATATCTGTGCCAAAGTTTTAGATCACTATTTGTTAAGTAGGTTTCAAACTGGCCTTTGTATATTCTCGATCCCTCCAAATGAATTGTACAATACAGTAACTAAGATTTATCCTGATACCAGATGTATGTAAATATAAATCACACTTGTATAATCTCCAGGTTGAACAATCTAGAAATTGTGATATTTTGCGAAGACATAATGTTTGATAATATTTTAAAATTTAATAGAATAAAAAGGATTTAAACTTTGAAATCGGTTGCATTATTATTAAGGGGAATAATGCATTTCTTTTGTTGTTGCAACATTTTAAAATACACATATTCCACACAAATTTGTTTTTATTAATTCCTCTTTATGTCGTGTAAACATAAGTACAACTGCCTGTCAAAAATACCATAACCAATAAATCTCGATATTTACATTTTACTGATTTATACATTTATATATATACACACACTTCTCGTCGACTTGCGGGTAATTCCAGGTTTTGAGTAATTTACAATAAATTGCCAGCAGGACTCGAGAATTACCCACCCCTGGCTGTTGGCAGTCCAGGGTCAGACCTAGGTCTTATAACCTAAGTGCTATCAACACCTGGGCCATAAAGTCCCCAACGCAATCAGTCCCTTTCAAACCCACTCACTCTGAAATACATTCTTTCCTAATTACATATCATTCACTCAGGGTGGTGGAGTGCTTGATAGTCCTCCATCACTCTCTTTACATGTTTTGCACCTACTCTTTGAGGGTTAATGACTCAATATTCCACCATCGGCCTTAACTCTCACTCTAAACAATAAATATATTCACTTTCAATATATACAAAGAAATACAAGACAAGACGTCTTATAAAGTACTACATATATTACAATTAATTAAGGTTTTTAGTTAGGATAAAAAAGTCAATGGCAAAAAGGAGAGAAAACTCAAAAGGTGGGGTTGAGATGGGAAGTTGATGTCCGAGTGGATCGAGGTCACAATAGCTCAAGTGGTAGAGCAGCGGCATATCAAGCTGAAGATCGTGGGTTCGAATCCCGCTCGTGCCATTGACTTTTTTATCTCGACTAAAAACCTTAATTAATTGTAATATATAATTGGTCAAGCGGACAACGAAATTAGTGAATTTAGGAATAGTGTTCATTGTGTGATGAATTGACCTAGCTGTCGACATCAGCTGTGCGGAGACCAACCTTGGTTATGTTTGAACTGACAGGCTGACCAGAACATGCATGGCCCCTTCAATTCAACTGACCAACAGGAGTAACTGACATGCCTGCTGGATCGTGTACAGGCCCCGCCCTTAAGGATGGTTTTCGGGATATCAACAGGTCAGCAGTAAAAACAGTAAATAGAATGGGACCAAAAATGCTCTCTTGTGGGACACCAGCCTAGATAGGTAGGTCTTGCCTCAGAGAACTCATTTTCACATTAAAAAATAATAATTAAATAATAAAATCAAAACAGGCCATTATTCAGTCAAACTCTTCAAACATTGGTCAAATGAAATAAATACAGGATCATTATTTCCAAGTCCAAAATCTATGATTTGTCTGTCAAATTGTATAAGGAAACAAGTGGGCAGAATATTTCAACTTTAATAGTTAATTTATTGCATGCAAGTATCATAAATGCATTTATTACAGGGCATGGTACAGAAATTCAAAAGGCAATTCTAAGTGCAATTTTATCATAATGTAAGCAGTGATGTTCTAAAAAATGTATGCACACAATTAGCCCAAATCGATAAAAAATGTATGATGTAATACTCTGATAGTCCGATAGACTCACAGATACCTATAGGTCCGGCCAATTGTTTACAATCCAGCAATAAAATAATTATAGTTGTAAAACTGTAATTTTTTAAAATATATTTTGTTGGGCTACACTGTTTTACCTATTAAACTGATACAAGTCTATTCATTCAAAACAAAATAGTGGCCATTTTATAGATAAAATATAAGTAAGGTGTAGCTGTCACAATATGAATAGAAAAATATTATTAAAAAATATATCTATTTTTTTCAAACACAGCCTAATTTTCAACAATTTTTTAAAAATTTTATCACTTAAACCTTTACTTTGTCTTTTTGAATTTTGACTCTACCGAGATACGAATTATAAGGAGATCCTAAATAATAGAAACCGTTAAATTGAACGAGGGAACTTAGGTATGCGACTTTCCCATCAGTCGCATGTAAGCTCTCGATTATATCTCCATTTTTATTCAGCACTATGACAGTCATTCTTGGCGCAGATGTAATACGCAGCATTTCAAAATGTCCAATCTAAAAATAAAAATAATAAAATCCACAATTGCCTTATTCCAATATACGAAATATAAACTTACCCAATGGGCCAATTTATCCAGCAAAACATGCTGGTATATATTTGAAACGGTTTTGACCAACATCTGTTTCAATGCCAATGTTCTAGCAATAAATTTCCTCAAAAGAGGAATTTCGACAATGTACTCATAAAATAAATTTGTAGGTAAAATTAATGACACAACACAATTGCCGTTTGCATCTCTTTTTAAATTATCAGGAAACCCAGGCAAATCGTCAATAAAAACATCTGAAGTTCCTTTTTGTGGACCTTTAATGTAATATCTAAAAAAGTAATTGTATTAAAAAAATTGAATCTGGAGTGAATCTAATTAAAGGAAATGTTGTGAATAAAAACACTTAAAGACAAAAAACAAGACACTAGTAGTTTTATCGTTAAATTAATTGCAACATACTTATTTTATTTATTTAGAAATCATGAGATGCGGTCTGGTGTGATGTAGGTTTCAGAAAAACATTTTCTTTATCCAACGCTTCAATCTTTATTGAGATCATCTTCAGGGCCTGGGATTTACAAACATTGTTTACATATAACAATTACATTTTGGAAGTGGAAAAGTGAATTTATACAATGCAAAATATATTTTTTATATATTCAATCAAAGTATTTCTACTCACTCAAAGTGTTTGTCTTCTGTGTAATTGTGCCATTCTTGCGTGTCGTGCCGAGAGTGCCAGTGAGATTTTGCTGTTTTATGTTTATATACGTTGGATTTTGAAGGGGTGGGGAAGGATGTCGGTATAGAAAAGACATTTTTGTATAATCACAGATTGGCATCAAAAACCAATAAACACAGATCGCTATCTCAACTTTACATCTCACCATCCTCTTCATACAATAATAAACACGGCCAAAGGGTTACTTCACAGGATGATTACCTTAAGCCATGAATCCTTCGACCACAAAAACATAAAAATATACAAACAAATCCTCCATAACAATCTCTACCCTAAACACATAATTAACAGAATAATCAACAATTACAACTCAACACTAACACCATCCACTATTACTAATAATACTACATTAAGTCTATCGAATACAAACAAACCGGCATACATTTCCATACCATTTATCCAAGGCCTATCACATAAATTAAACACATTTCTCTTGTCCGATAACTTCAAAATAGCTTTCAAAAATTATAAAACAATTCAAACACTTTTTTCCAAAATTAAAGATCCCACACCAATAGCAAATAAATCTGACGTAATCTACAAGATCAACTGTCCGGCAACTTACATCGGTCTTACATCCCAATATCTGGACAAGAGAGTAAAGCAACATATCTATGAAACACAATTTCGACTTCAAAAATCCAAAAGTATTACACACAGAACAAAACAAACATAAACGTAATTTCTTAGAAATGGTTTATATCAACAGAGATAAACACAGCATCAATTACAGAACAGATACACGTAAACTCAGTCGCCAATATCATTAATCAAATTCAATACAGATAACGTACCTATATCATCACATTACATTCCACACATCAAATATTTTTCACATAGTCTAATTTCCCAACAATTGAGCTTTCCTTTTCCTATTTTTCCCTTTCTATATAATCCTGAAAGGATAATCTGGCCGAACAAATACCAACACATTTTTTCCCTTCGTCGGCTCTTTTCACCTCAAAGAAGACGACGCCTTATACTAAAATGTCTTTTCTATACCGACATCCTTCCCCACCCCCCCAAAATCCAACGTATATAAAAACAAAATAGCAAAATCTCACTGGCACTCTCGACACGACACGCAAGAATGGCACAATTACACAGAAGACAAACACTTTGAGTGAGTAGAAATACTTTGATTGAATATATTAAAAAAAATATATATATATATATATATTGCATTGTATAAATTCACTTTTCCACATCCAAAATATAATTGTTATATGTAAACAATGTTTGTAAATCCCAGGCCTTGAAGATGATCTCAATAAAGATCGAAACGTTGGCATGATAAAGAAAATGTTTTTCTGAAACCTACATCACACCAGACCGCATCTCACGATTTCTAAATAAATATCGATTAACGGTCACTAAACACCACACATACTTATTTTAATGTAAACCAAATGGAAATCCTCTTCCAGACCTCCACAAAAAGAAGAAACCCTTCTAACCCGGCCTCACTCGACTCACCCATAGTTTTTAAAGAACTCTTACACTCTGTCCATTCTGTATATTTCCTATCAATATATTATTATTTCATCTCTGTTTTCTCAACATTGAATTTAAATATCTAGTTTAGATAACTAATCAATAATTAATAAGAATAATGCCTATCAGTATATATCTGCATCATAATTGATTGTCCTTTATACACCGCTGCCAACACCCTCCACCAAATCAAGCAAAGACCTCCAATCAATAATTCCACATCAATTAACAAAATTTGTAACTTCTCCTGAGTGGTTAGTGTGATACTCTCAGCTCATAGATTGGTCCTTTTTTCACTCTAACCCCCCTCCACCCACCAAAAAAATGCACACACATAATTGCCATCATTGCTTGTTATAAGCTATCTGGCTCCAAGCTTGAGGAAAGAAACCAGAAGCTCCCTATGGGAAGCTGTAAAACACTTCAAAGCCCAAAAGGAGATTAAGCCAGGAACACACCTACCCGATGCTACGCCATGTGATGCTACCCGACACAAATCCAAACTCCGATTTTCCATAAGGTTGCATTACCCCCGTGCACATCTATCCGATGCTACCCGACGGAAATCCAAACTCCGATTTTCCATAAGGTTGCATTACCCCCGTGCACATCTACCCGACGCTCTGCGATCCCCACTGTCCAGATTTTATCGGGTCGCATCGAGTACAGTCGAAGACAAAAGAACAGGACACTCATATTTTTATTCAAATGTCGTGTAATCAATTTGATTTTCGGCGACAAATGAAATGGCCACAGAGAGCTTTAGTGAAAAATGGCAAAAAGGAGGGAAATTTCAAAAGGTGTGGTTGAGATGGGAGGTTGGTGTCCGAGTGGATCGAGGTCATGATAGCTCAAGTGGTAGAGCAGCAGCGTATCAAGCCGAGGATCGTGGGTTCGAATCTCGCTCGTGCCATTGACTTTTTTATCTCAACTAAAAACCTTAATTAATTGTATTAATCAAAACACTGGAATACGATTTTTTGATATAATGAATTTAACTAACAATTTATTGTACTCGCTTCGGCGGTACATATACTAAAATTGGAACAATTTATTAGATGGTTGTGCTCATAAAATTTAACTAACAATTTATTACATGGTTGTGCTCATAAAATTTAACTAACAATTTATTACATGGTTGTGCTCATAAAATTTAACTAACAATTTATTACAAAGTTTTGCTCAAAATAGTGCATTAAGAACAAAAGATGCGTTGTGATTGTGATAGTGATTATTGTGATAAACGCTGTGGACTCTACGCGACATGTACTTACATCGGATAGATGTGCACACCCCACCAAAATGTGGCAAGGCGTCAGGTAGCGTCGCATGGCGTAGCATCAGGTAAGGGTGTTGTGTGTAAGTGTGTAAACACCAGCACAACAGATGCAGAAAAAGTCGAAGCAATGTGCAGTTACTTTAAATCGATACATGAAACCATGTTAAGCTTTGGCTCGACGTCCCATGACCAACATGAGCAGAGTAGTTAGCCAGTACATCAAAAATGCCTCAGCCAGGGCTGAGAACTGCCTCCTCACCTCGCCTAATGAAATAGCCTGGGTCACAAAAGGGAGATGAAAAAGGCTCCAGGCCATGACGGAGTGCCCAACATTCTACTCAAGCTCATTTACTTCTCCTAGCATGCATTTTTAATCAAATGTTTATACTCGGACACTTTCCCACCTGCTGGAAGATATCTAAAGTCATTTTCCTAGTGAAAGCTAGGAAACCACATGGCACCCCCTCAAGGCTCTGACTAATATAAGCAAAATATTCGAATGACTACTCCTATCCCGCCTGGAAGATCACATTGCAAAGTCTGGTATAACGAAGGAGGAACAATTTGGTTTCTGTCCCAACTGTGGGCCATCTTACTTGAGTAGTTGATATAATAACAGGTAGCTTCAACAAAAAGATGCACACTGGGATGGCCCTGTTAGATCTTGAAAAGGCTTTTGATATAGTCTGGCACCTACAGGCTCATAAAATATAACTTCGCTTGTTCCATATACTCGTACTTAAAAAAGAGAATGTTCAGAGTATCGCATAACAAGTCCCTCTCAACTCCTTATAAAATCGTGACTGGAGTCTCACAAGGATAATCCTAGGCCCTATTCAGTTTGTTATACTTCATGCCCTATTAATATCTTCATGGAGGCCAAACACAGTAACAAGAAGCGCCACTACTGAAATTGGAAAAAGATGGAAACTTAAAAACAATTCCACCAAAACAGAAGCCATCCTCTTCACCAAAAGAAGACCTCCAGTAATCGACCATGACATGGCAGCAAGAAATAGCATTCCCTGGTCAGGCTATGTCAAATATCTGGGCTTAACAATGGAAGCAGTCTGGCGTTCACCAGGCATGTAGCAGATAGAATAAACCCCGATACACTGCTATCAGGCTACTCTTTCCTCTATTGTCACCAGACTCCATGATGAGTGCCTTTAACAAAAAGCTCCTCTACAGAAGCATTGTTAAGCCCATGCTTCTGTACACTCTGCTTGGAGCATCACTTGCCCGACAAAGCTCAACATGTTACAAGTGATCCAAAATAAGTTTTTGAGGTTTGTCACCTCCTGCCCAAGATGGACCAGATTGAGTGCCTTCACGAGATGCTGAATAATGCATAGTGCTGCCAGCAGGAATGCCCTATGCAAAGTAATAGGAGCCAATGACCTTAAAGCGCTAGAAGCATCAGTGTGTAAACCATCCTCCTTCAAGACTGAGCTGTGATTTTTATAACATTTATGATACTCCATTAAGTGCTTGATATCACTATAATTTCTGGCCTGTAAATGTACATAATCGTTTTTATTTATTTATTAACTTACTTGGGCCCTCAAAATCTATTTTGAGAATTATCCTGGCTAAATGTTTTTTTTTTTTTTTTTTGCTTTTTCCCACATCTCAAAAACTTCACTGTAACTAGTAACACAAGTTAAACAATCTAAAGTCTTTCTGGCTGTAGTTAAAGTGGCCTTGCCACTGTCACTCAAATTTGTAATTATGTACTAAATAAATAAAAAAGTAAAAAATAATTAAAATTGATTTCCAGCGTGCTTACTGATTAGGTCTAATATATTTCAGTTGTGTAAATATAAATTCATACTTAATTAAACGTGACTTAAATGTTTCAGCTGCAATCACATATGATTCATCATCTGACAGAAGTACACCATTAGAGAAATGAAGACCATTTAATAGAACTTCACTCCTCTTCGTTTTTGCATTATACATTAAAAGCCTAAAACAAAATGAAGACAAAATAATGTACGAGTCAATTAATACAAGTTATTTGAAAGTGTTTGCTGACTCACCTTCCATTACCGTTTCCTAGTAGAGTGAAAAGGCCGTCGTTTAATTTATGTGATATGGAAGAATCTGTCCAGTAAACATCACCTGTTTTTGACACATCCACGGCATTTGGTATCATTGGAGCCACACCATCAATTTTTTCTGTGACATCTACTAAATCTTCTACCTCTCCTAAAAATAAACTATATAACATACAGGAAGGATATATAAGGATAACATTTGAATATTTATTAAAATTATCCTTGTTCAAAAGTTCACTAATTTCGTGGTCCGCTTGACCAATTCATATATTACAATTAATTAAGGTTTTTAGTCGAGATCAAAAAGTCAATGGATTCGAACCCACGATCTTCGGCTAGATACGCCGCTGCTCTACAACTTGAGCTATCGTGACCTCGATCCACTCGGACACTAACTTCCCATCTCAACCCCACCTTTTGAATTTTCCCTCCTTTGAGATAGGAAGTTAGTGTCCGAGTGGATCGAGGTCACGATAGCTCAAGTGGTAGAGCAGCGGCGTATCTAGCCGAAGATCGTGGGTTCGAATCCCGCTCGTGCCATTGACTTTTTATCTCGACTAAAATCCTTAATTACTTGTTCAAAAGATTAAATAAAATGAATTTTCATCAAAATCAAGTATGTTTTTATTGCAAATTGTTGAAACACTAAATTAAAAATATGACTTTATAGCTTCATGTCTGACATAAAGGAGTCTATTAAACATTTTTAAAAAGCCCTCAACTCTTGCAAGTTAATAAATTCCTGTCATGCAGGAGGGCTTATGTCCAATTACCCGGTCAAACCACTTTAGAAATACTTTCTCCACATTATTTACAAAAACCCATATGCTAGGATGGCTAGCGTGACAAATATGAGTATGACACCCTAACCCCTAGACATGAAAATAATTAAGTTTTAGTATGTATATCTTGAACTTTTATTAGTAAGTTGGCCTGAGGTAACAGCATAGTTAAGAGGTTAGCAAGTTAAGAAAACAGTAAAAAATATGAGAAGCTAGTGGTAAACGGTCAGCCCATTACTAAAATTAAATACTCCATTTGTGAATAAGTTATGTTTAGCTTATCATCTGCAAGTGTTGGAGACTTAAATGACCTAGACTTAATTGAGAAGTCTAAATAAGATAAACAAAATACTCTTGATCAAAAATCAAAATGAATTATTGGACTAACTAATCAAATTCTATATTAAAAAATTAATATATAAGCATCACATTAGAAATATTGTTGTCATTAAACTTACCAGAAGATAAGTTTACTTTCTTTATGCCATAATAAGCATCAGCCACATGCATTATTCCATTTGAGTCTATATGAATGCCTAGAGGGCGACCGCAAATATGTTCTTGCCATATGCCTTCTGTAAAAAATAACCTGTATTTATTAAAAGACTATAAGACAGAGAGATAAGTACTACAATTAAATTTGAAACATTGAAACGTTAATACTCACCACATGGCTTTCCAAATTTGACGACTGGTAGAAGATCACCATTTTTTGTCATTTTTTGGACATAACCTCCATGTGTTGTCATGTAAAGTTCCCCTTTATATATGGCCAAATCTTCCGGTCCTTTAACCTCGTCTTCAAATAATCTTTCAGCGTTGTTCAATTTGCTATTGGTTTCCAGCACGCCATACAATGGTCGAGGATTTATACTGAAGATCAATTAAAATGATAAGTTACAATCAATTAAGGTTTTTAGTTGAGATGAAAAAAAGCTAATGGCACGAACAGGATTCGATGGGTTGAGATAAGAAGTTGATGTCCGAGTGGATCGAGGTCACGATAGCTCAAGTGGTAGAGCAGCGGCGTATCTAGCCGAAGATCGTTGGTTCGAATCCCGCTCGTGCCATTAGCTTTTTTTCATCTCTACTAAAAACCTTAATTAATTGTAATGTATTTATTGGTCAAGCAGACCACGAAATTAGTGAATAAAATGATAAGACTACATCTTAAAATAATAGCAAATGTTTTTAATAGCAAAATGAACAAGTTCTGTAAAAACTGTCCATCAGAAAACCGTTTATATATCCATTTTTTTTTTCATTATACACTTATTTAAAATATAGTAGCAGCCTGTTGTTTTTGAAAGATAGAGGGGGCTTGGACAAACGCTTAGTACAAAATACTTTTATTTGGTAAAGTTTGAAGCGAACCGGGATTCACAAAACAACACCAGGCAATGACTGTGCCTGGAGTAGACTAAACACAAACAAAATGTTTGACTTGGTCAATGTGGTTTATCCCTGATTGAGCTTATACTAAAACGGTCATCCCAGTTTGCTTCAAACAGCCTGGCTGTTTTTATTAATCTGGTGTGTTGGGCCTTAAGCACACAAGATCAACTCAAAGCTAGTCTGAAACTTCTTGAGGTCGATCCCATCATGACACGGCCTCAGTGTGAATACCCTTTCTTGCCTAGTTTCTCACCAGGCAACTTATGGAATTGCCGGAAGTGCCATGAACCTATGTTTCTTCAACTAGGTTTCTTTCTTTTTAAGCAGAGCAGCTAAATATCCATCCTCAGCCTATAACTAATTTCCCTTCCAAAAGGGAAGTTAGTATGATATTATAGCATGAGGATGGATGCTCCTATGCTAAAAAAAAAGGAAACCCAGTTGAAGATACATAGGTTCATGGCACTTATGCCTGCTGACCACCCACCTGGGTGGATGAGTTCAGTACGAATGAAGTGGCTTGGACAATTCCCAATCATTTGCCACTAATGAAACCTTATGGATCAGAAAAATCCAGAGGTGACAGTGGGAATTGAACCCATTCAGCTCTTGATTGAGGGTAAGCATACTGAAACGACTGGAAACGACCAAGCTACAAACTTGATCAATACTGTCAATTGATAAAACCAACTCATTATGTTTGTCAACTAGCTTTATTAGAGAGACATAAGAAATACAAGTAAAAATGTTGTCACCTGAATGCCTCGAATTTTAAATCAGGTGGTAGACCAGGGAAGAAAGTTATAATAATCATGATAAGCACACATTGAAGGGCGGTCACAATCACATTAGTAAAGAATTTCACTGCCCTGTAAAAGGACCAATATTAAAACAAAAGCAAAATATCAAAAATTGTACACTCAAAGATGAAAAAATCGGACACTTGTATTTTGTTGTCTATGTCAAACTATATGTATTTTTATTGTTATATTAGTAACAACTTATTCATTTCAATTATCACCAAAATATCGGAAAATCATTTAGTGATCGAATAAAATTAGCTAACAATTTATTACTAGTTTTGCTTTTAATAATATGTATTGCTATGACCTTGTGAGGTCTGCCTTAAATCTACCAACCAAGTACATAAGCAATGGAATTTCATCTTGTGAAACATAATCCCATTCTTCAACAAGAGCGGTTTGAAGCTTTCAACGTTTGTTGGAGGCAGCGAACGATGTATAACCCGACTTTTTATCATGTTTTAAGAAGAAGAAGAAAAATAACTTTATTCTGGGACTGGTGTCCCCTANCATTCGTTGATGGAGTTTAGGTCTTTTTGGATCTTGAGAGTGGCCGAGTGAAGATCGGAAGGGTGGTATATTTGGGAGTCATCGGCATATAGGTGATAGTTACAGGACTGGATGGAGTCGGGCAGATCATTGATATAAATGGAAAAAAGGATAGGAGAGATGCTAGAGCCTTGGGGCACCCCAGATTTTAGAGGGAGGGAGGAGGAGGTAAGGTCATTGGGAAGGGAGACAGCTTGGTGGCGATTGGTAAGGTAGGAGTGGAACCAACAGATGGTGCTGGCGGAGAAGGAAAAAGATTCGAGTTTAGAGAGGAGAGAAGAGTGAGGGACAGAATCGAAGGCTTTAGAAAAATCAAGAAGGACAAGTATAGTAACTTTCCGTTGGTCCATTGCTAAGTGGAGGTCACTGGTAATTTTTATTAGTGTTGATTGGGTGGAATAACCTTGGCGGAAGCCAGATTGGAGGGGGTTGAGAATATGGGACTGTTCAAGGTGCCTGGAGACTTGTGCTTGTCTAGGGGCTTGGACAGGTTTGAGAGGAAAAGTTAGTTTAAAAGTGTTCTATGAGATTCATATCAGGAGAATGTGCTGGCCAATTCATTGTGATATTCCCTATATCTTCCGAGTAATGGAGTACAACTCAAGCTACATGCGGTCAAGCATTATCATGAAGTGGTCTCCAATAAATGGAGCGAGAGTGACTACAGCTTCCAGAAGAACTTCCTCGATGCACATTAGTGCAGTCAAAGATCCATAATAAGATAATAATTTTGGAATGGGCACAGATGCTGATTCCACCCCACACTATAACTGTCTTTGAAAAGACTGTGACTCACGCATGCACATGGAGCAAAGCATTCTCTACATCTGCACCACACACGGTCCCGGATTGCCACAAACCAAACCGGAACTCATCTGTGAAGAGAACAGCCCCAATTGTTCAAGTGTCCCAGTGAGTTGCAGATTTGCGAATTGTCGCCTTTCTCTACTCTCCAATAGTAGAGAACCTGATGCGGGAAGACTAGATACTAAGCTATTCATGAAGCCTTCTGCTGATGTTTTAAAAGGTCACCCTTACATTACTGTTTAGAGATGACTACCTATCAATGACAGTAAGAGCAATAAAACGATTGTCTATACCAGTCTATCACTACATTTTCTTTGATCGAGACGTCCGTTGACTGGATGGTTAGGCTCTGGTGGGTGCTGTCAACAGCTAAGTCATATAATTACCCAATGTAATCAGTTCTTAAATCATGAGCCATTCACACTCTCACTCACTTTTAAATACATTATTTCCTGAGTGACAGTGACAGGGCCACTTTAACTACAACCAGAAAGTTTTTTGGATTGTTTAAATTGTGGTAAATAGTGATAGCAAGGTTTTTGAGAAGTGAGAAAAAGTTTTTAAAAAACTACTCATTTAACCAGGAGAATTCACAAAATAGATTTTGAGGGCCCAAGTAAGTTAATAAATAGATAAAAGATTAGGTACGGGCGAGAAATTATAGGGATATCAAGCACTTAATGGAGTATCACAAATGTCGTAAAAATCACAGTTCAATCTCAAAGCAGAATGTTTTTTACACGCCGGTGGTTCCAACACTTATTAAGGTCATAGCTCCTATTTCTCTGCTTAGGGCATACCTGCTGAAGAAGCATAGTGTACCTGATTTTACCTCAATGGCACTGGTATTCATCTCGCAGAGGCTGGTCCTGGCCCATCTTGGGCAGGAGGTACCAAACTTCAAAAACTTATTTTGCACCACTTGTAACATGTTCAAGTTTTTTCCGGCAAGTGATGCTCCAAGCAGGGCACGCAGCACAGAAGCATGGGCTTAACATGCTGCAGAAGAGGAGCTTTTTGTTAAAAGCACTCATCATGGAGTCCTGTGATAATAGAGAAAACAGCAGCCTTATAGCAGTTTTATCGGGGTTTATTCTATCTGCTACATGCCTGGTGAACGTCAGGCTGCTATCCATTGTTAAGCCCAGATATTTTACATAGCCTGACCAGGGAATGCTATTTCTTGCTGCCATGTCATGGTCGATTACTGGAGGTCTTCTTTTGATGAAGAGGATGACTTCTGTTTTGATTTTAAGTTTCCACCTTTGGCAGAAGCAAGCAATTTTTCTACTTTCGGTGCTGAGCTTTCTTGTTTCTGACATTCTTTCCTATTTACATACCATTCAATCCAGTTGTGGAGTACTCGATGTACCTATTATATAAATAATCTAATTGACAGCCGATGACTCAATATTCCACCATCAACCCTCTCAAATACATGCTAATAAATACATTCACTCTCAACACATACTAGGGAGATAAAATTATCATAAAAATGGTGAATGATGGAGTGAGTGCTGTGTTCAATCCTTTTTAAAATACTACAATTAATTAAGGTTTTTAGTTGAGATAAAAAAAGTCAGTGGCACGAGCGGGATTTGAACCCACGATCTTCGGCTTGATACACCGCTGCTCTACCACCTGAGCTATCGTGACCTTTTTATCTCAACTAAAAACCTTAATTAATTGTAGTATATTAATTGGTCAAGCGGACCACGAAATTAGTGAACCTTTTTAAAATTATCATTACTATACACAATAAAACAACCCTGCTGTTTCCTTAAAAAAAAAAATTAATTAAAAAAATATAAAAAACAGATACCAGTCAATTAAGTGAGACATACTGAACAATCAAATAAGGGTATGATACTTCCAAAACCCAGTGATAGGAAACGAATCGGAAAACGGAAAACTTTTAAATTAAAAGAAAACGATAACGGGAATGGTAAAGTAAAACAAATAAAAGCACCCTTGTTGAAGCCAAATTGACTGAAAACATAAAACATATTTATAGAACGTATGTGTATTTAAGGCAAACACAAAATTTTAACATAAGATGAATAAAATTATATAATTATTACACAAGTTAGCTTCCACCTGTAGTTATACAATCACACAATATTGTCGCTCAACTTATCCGTGTGGTAACTATTAGATTAGTTAAACTTAAATTTAAATTTTAAAAAAAGTCTTTTGATTTCCCTGCCCAGTGCGACTCCCTGAATCTTCAAACTCAAGAATTAAGCCCCATAAGCACTCATTTATTGCAACTTATCAGATTCAAGGTCGAATTAGTAGCGTAGAAGTTAGAACTTTACAAATGGGATCAATGATCTTTCTACAAGCATGTGAATGCCTCTTCCGCAAACTCCAAGGGGTGTTTGCGCCCTTTGGGGAGAGTGGTAGTAAAAGGATTAGTAACACTATGAAGATTTAAAAAAAAAAATTAATATTGTTTTTCGTTCTAAGTCAGCTATAAATCTTTATTCCTAGTTATGGAAAATAAACAAACAAAAGTGTCCGTTTTTTCGTTGTCTGAGTATATTTATAACATGATAAATAACATACAACAAAATTCATAGTTAAGTTAACTCATGTTTTACCTCTATTAACTTTCTCAGTAAATGATAAGAAGTGAATATAGAATTAATAAAATCTTGAGTAATTTCTTTCCTACTTACATCCTTAATGGAAACAGACAATCAAACGAAAATCCGGATGAATTTTTAATGTATTTACTCTGTTTTCTTCAACGTCGAATAACTGGAAGTAAAATGAATACTGGCTTAAGAAAGGAACAACACAGCAACAATTTAAGATAATCTTCCAAGTGATAATGCAACAGGTTTCAGGTGTACTCGAGCACTCCAATTTCAATGAATTGAACTAACAAAACAACCGCCAAGGTTTTATTTATTTAACTACACCGAGAAGCAAAAAACTGGCCACACTTAATATTTTTAATTATCTCTTACGCAATCCTCCAATGATTAACTTTCAACAATGTTTGGTCCGTTTTAAAGGATTAGAGCTAAATAAAAAACAGATAAAATCTTCCATTTGTGTTTACAATTGAAATTTTGAAGTAAATCTCTGAATAGTCAATCTCTTTTTTTGTTGGTTTTCTGTAAAGCCACTTTGTAACGTTTCGGTTTTTTGTAAGCTATAAGTTATAAGTTTTGATTGATACAAAATTGACTAGAATCATAGCATCCTTTTTTGAAAAAGATAGTTCCTACTCACACAGGATTTTACAACCATGTGTCTCGACATGAATTGCAAAAGTGCAATTGCATCCTAAGAAATCCTTCAACCTGATGATGAGCTAAGGGCTCGAAATCCGGATTGTTGGAAAACAACTTACTGTAAGTAAGAACTATCTTTTATAAAAAAGGATTGAACACCGCACTCACTCCATCATTCACCATTTCTAAGAATCATAGCATTGTTGGAAGACATAAGAAGTCAAGCATATGTGGCCACAGTGCTTAACATTCCCAGGACAACTGTCCGAAGGGCCTCCGATTAGTTACTCCAAGCTACTTAAGCTATGATTTTCAGGCGGAAATCTGGGCCATTAATATGTGTAGAACACTTATGTAAAATAAAATTAAGTGAAAAGATTTTAGAATTTTTTCTGACAGTCAGGCTAGTTTTAGATCATTACAAAAAGATTTGTCAACCTCACGACTGGTAGAGGAAACCGTAGATCTTATTAATACGATCTCTTTCAGGTTTGAGAATAAGGTGACCCTTATTTGGATACCAGCACATAAAGGACACCATGGCAATGAAAAGGCGGATGGCCTGGCCAAAGAAGGTTCTAGTACTGCGTTTGTCGGGCCACAACCGTATTACCTCACTCTATGAGCACAGCGAAAGAGAGTATTAATAACTGGGGCATGAAACAATTCCTTAGGGAGTGGAATTTATCCCCCGGACACAGGCAATCGAAAGAGTTTGTTAAGGCGATCAAACCAGCAGAATCGAAATGGCTATTCTCTATCTCAAGGAAGGGAATTAGGAGGCTGATAGGTATTCTGACGGGGCACTGCCCACTGAGAAGACACCTCTTCATAATGGGTACTCTACAAATCTCTACCGTTTTTTGCGAAATAAAGAAGAAACGGCAAGGCACTACCTCACAGAGTGTGATAGGTATGATAGATTTGAAATCTTTGAAGGAGAGGACATCACCAAATCACTCCCCGAGATTAAATGGTCCAAAATCTTGGGGTTTGTGAACAGGTCCAAAAGATTTATGAAGGACACATGAGCCGACCAACTTCCGGACCGTTTAGGGATGGGGTACGAGTCTACCCAGGCATTTAACCCCTTGGGTCTTGGTCGCCCACCTTGCATAATATATATAAACTCCAAGCTACAGCAGGTTACTCCAGAAGGCATGGATAAGGTTGCCATCATGTCACGTCGTTCATTTTATTGTTTCAAATGTACTTTGTAATCAACATTCTACCACTATAGAGATCAAGCAACAACTTCAAGTTAGAAATGTTAATGTCAGTATTCGCACTGTAAGGCGAAGAGTTTCAGAAGCTTGATTATGAGCGAGAAGGCCTGCCATTGGTCCAGAACTTCTGACAAACGACAGTACAGCTCGGTTGAGTTTCACAAAAAATCACATTAATTGGCCTGAGCAAGACTGGACTAAAATCTCGTTTTCGGATGAGTAAAGGTTTTGTTTGAGGTCTTCTTACTGCCAATAGAGTCTTGGATAAGAACAGGAGAGCGATAAATCCTCACAATATTTTCTCTTTGGAGAAGCTATGGTGTGGTGATGTTATCGTTTGGCAAGGCATTTCTATGCAAGGTTGCACGAACTTGATCTTCATCGAAGGTTCCCTGATAGCTGAGCGATACACTGAAGATAAGTTATCAGAAGAAATTGTTCTTTATATGTCACTAATTGGCGATGGTTTTATATTTATGCATAACAAATGCATGCTAGGATCATTGGTGACTACTTGGAACGGGCTCCAATTCAATGTTCGGAATGGCCAGCATGTACTCCTGACTTAAATCCTATCGAACACCTTTGAGGAGTTGTCAAAGAGGGTAAAATGTCACACAGTGATGCTAAAGAATTTGCATAAATTAAGAATAGTGCTGCTGGATGAGTATGAAAATATTCCACAGCACAACATTCAAACCTCATAAAATCAATGCCACACCGAATGCAAGAGGAGTAAATACTCCTTACTGAATTGAATATTTTCTTTACTTTTTTCCTACCAACAGTTTTGGCGAAATTGTTTTTCTCAGTTAAATTATTTATTTAATTTAGATATAAATTATATTTTTCCTGCAGTAATACATTTCGTAATAAAAAATACAAATTTGTCCATATGAAAAAACTAAAAATTAAATTGCTTATAAACATACCGTGTAATCTCTATGTTGATGTGCTGAATGTTCAGGTACCAAGGAGCATCTACCTTATTTCATAGAACTTTATTTTGGAACTGTTATATTATGATTTACTGCTTCTTTTAGCACACCCCCGAAGCTGTATACCATACATCTACATACATTGTAATATGTGATTATAAATCCATTGAAGATGATTGGCTTGTCTACTAATTTTCTATCTGTGAAATTTAAATGTGTGGCTTTCTGTTCATTTATTTTGATCTTCCAAGCATCTGTCCATACATGGGTGCTGTTGACTGCCATTTGCAGTCGATTAGTGGATGAATGGATACATTTTTCGACTGAGAGGCAGCATTGTCATCGGCAAAAGTTGCGACGGTTATGTTTTCCATGTAGGATGTTACCTTGTGATATACAAGCCTTGATTTTAAATAAATCAGAGTATTCGTCTTGTTTTTAAATTGTAACAGACTTTCCGAAAGATAGGAGGTCAAAAGTGGGAATATTTTTTTGGTTTATGTATTAAACATTCGTGTAAAAGATTAAAGGAAGAATAATAATACAAATTTATAGAGTATAAAAATAAACATAAAAATTCATTTATTTTAATTATATAATAAGCAATTAAAACAAATCTTATATTATTCTAAGAAGTTCTAAAATTAAAACATCCAGTTATATTGGAAGCTATTTAAAGAATTTGAAGGTTAATATAAGTAAATATTGTAAAAATTGTTAATGCTATGTAAAATATGAATGAAACCAATTCTGTCATTATTGGCACAGTTTACATTATCATGAAACGCAACATTATAAGAACCATTGTCGTACGACATAACAAATTTTTCTTAGTTCTCACTTCAGTGATGAATTTGTCCGAGGTGATTTCAATTTACCTTGTTCTGAATGAATTAATACAAAAATTTATCTTGTAAAGTTCTCCCTCAATCTGGCAGAAGACTAAGACGATTTCAGACACTTACATTTATGCATCTTGAAGGTAAGATATGACAGTATGATAATACCACCAACTTTCTTGAGATCAATCAATCAATATTGCCAAAAAAATATTTATATTAATTGTAGCGACATTGTATGACATGAAATATTGCTGAAAAAAAAAAAATATTACTTGTAGCAACACCATGTGACATGACTAAGGTAGTTAAAAATGTGAAGTACCATTTTACAGAGAATTGTTTATACCTACAATAATAAATTATGTTCCTGTACATTAGTTCATTATTATTAACGATTTAACTAAGAATATTATTTCCAGAAAATGACAAATATTGAGAGAATAAACTTTTTGAGAGATAAGGCACATTAAGCATCAGGTTATAAATTTCCCTAACAGATAGCAGCACTGACGTCCAACACGATTTTTGACCGTTATTTACACTTGTGTTTTAAAAATCAAGTTTATTATTGTTTCTAATAATTAAAATTTGCAATTTAGTTAAAAAATCAATATTATTGAAGAAGATAATTGAGAAAATATTGAATATGGGCATGCCCAAAATGAAATACAGTTCTATTTTAAAAGGAAAAATGTACTTCTCGCTAACCACAGATTATCCATTTTGCAACTCATATATAAATTAGCCTCTATTGTTTACAGGAGCCACGGTGATGAAGCAAAGTCTTACTTCGCTTGCTACCTCGGCCGTCCACTACATTTCAACGTTTCGCCGATGCCTTCGAATTTCACGAATTTCAATCCCTCAATACTTATAAAACTACGACGCCATCGTTCTTAAAAAACTGTAACCTTAGTTCAATACGCTTATACAAAATACGACGCCAAATAATAAGAATTGTGCCTTCCACAGTCTCTCGTTGAGTCGACGGCCGAGGGAGCACACCCCACCCCCCAAGACTTGTAAACTGAGTGGTTCCAATTTTTTTTTCCTAGTTTTTCCAAATAATTTTCAGCCCACCCCAACACTTGTAGACCGAGAGGCTCCAATTTTTTTTCCTACAGTTTTTCCAAATAATTTTCAGCCCACCCCACGACTTGAAGACCGAGCGGCTCCAATTTTGTTTTCCTACAGTTTTTCCAAATAATTTTCAGCCCATCCCAAGACTTATGCACTGAGTGGCTCCAATTTTTTTCCTACAGTTTTTCCAAATAATTTTCAGCTCACCCCAACACTTAAGACTGAATGGTTCCAATTTTTTTTCCTAGAGTTTTTCCAAATAATTTTCATACATCATCAAGTACAGAGAAATTTTAGTAGTCAAAATCCAAGTCCAGGCCAGCTCAGAAAAAAAAAAAAAAAAAATAAACAATTGTAATGCAGACACATGGTTTTGATTTAAACAAAAACAACAAGTACATCCTTTCTCTTGGTACAGTTGTCAGTTGGGTTGTATTTCAAGCATATGACTGATATAAATTACAATCATCAAGTCACAAACATCATCCATGAAAAATATAAAAAATGTCATTTCTGTAGTCATATAGTCATTTCTGGATTTTAATGCTTTTCAATAGAAAAAGGAATTGAATAAATGTATATTTTTTGTTGCCTGGCCGGGAAAGCAACAAAAAGCACATTTATTCAATTCCTCTTTATTTTCAAAAACATTGTAATCCAGAAATTTCATTTTTTATGTTTTTCATGGATGATATTTATGATGATTGAAATTTTTATCAATCATATGCTGGAAACACAACCCAACTGCCAACTCTACCAAGAGCGAAATATAATCTTCATTGAATAGATTTCTCTATCAAGAGAAAGGATGTAGTTTTTTTTTTTTTTTTTTTTTTTTTTTTTAATCAAAACCATTTGCACAGCGCGTCTGCATTACAATTCAATGTAAAACGAGCAAAAAAAAAAAAAAAAAAAAAATTACATAACAAGCTTGTATTAAAAGGTTGTATATCAAAGGATATTAGAATAATCTAGTATGAGGCTTCACAAACTGTGCCCGCGACCATTGTGGGTCTGCCAACCCTAGTAAATAAAATTAAAAAACTAATAACAATGAGTACTGAAAATGGAAGTTTTTATTTTGCAGCAGCAGTAATTGTGTTCTCCACAGACTTTCTTTAGCTATGAAACAAATGCCAGCCTCTTGTAAGAAAGTTTTGGATAAGCCAGTCCAAATTATTCAATGTCGCGGTCATTGAAGTCATGACTTTTATCATTCCCAGCTTCACCATACAGAAGTTAGTTGGTTGTCTTGTGTGAAAGCACTTTCACGATTATAGGAATTATGTTCTAAGGTCTTATCTCACCACATGGATGGACCTTATAAATTGGCCAATGTTTTCAACCATGAAAAATGGCAATGTATATTGTCGTATTGATAAGATATTTTCATTAAAATGAACGAAATGAGTCTTTCTTTGCAAGGGAAGAGTATCAAAACTTTCGATGCTGATGACAAAGCTCATGCCTTCAAAAGAAAAATCCAGTTTTGGGTTGAATTTGTTGAAAAGGAAAAGGTGGACTGTTTTCCTGTGTTAATTTTTTTTTTTGCTTGCAAACGTTTATTGATGAAATATGTGAACACCTTCGAAGTTTGGAAATGTCTTTTGAACTCTACTTTTCAACACCTCGAGGTACAATGCTGCAAGACCATGAATAGAGGTCAAACCAATAGTCATTTTCAATTTCGACAAAGTCAACCAGTCTATCTTTAAGTAAATATGAAAGAAAGCTCTGAATTCAACCACTCATTGAAAAAGCAAAACGTGTTCTTCTATTTGTTCCAACTTACCTACGCAAATCTGGATTTTATCTACATAGCCACCAAATCTAAATATTGAAGCTGTCTAGAGGCTGACTCTGACATCAATCTCCAGTTATCAAAAATTAATACCTAAATGCAAGTGGTCTGCCCTGGATTTTGTTTTGTAAAAGAGGTCCGCTCCCTAAAAAGTTTGGGAAACCCTGTTCTAGTACATTGTGTTGTTGAAAATACAACTTGAAAAAGCCATTTAAAAAAATTTGGAGCCACTCATTAAGTAAGTCTATGGGACCCTCCCTCGGCCGTCTACTCTGGAAGCTCAAGGTTCAATTCTTATCCGGCATCTTAGCAGTTCGTTGTGTATTGCATTTTTAATATGCTACAGTCGTTCAGGAACATGGCGACATATTGTTATCAGTTGTGAGGATTAAGGTTCATGAATTCGTAGGTATAAAGGAAGCTTTGAATTGTTGTAGACGGACGAGGAAGAAAGTCAGAGTGACTTTACTTCAAAGTCGTGGCTCCTGCAAACTATAGAAGCTATCTTGTATTTGAGCTGCAAAAGTGAACATATCTGGAAAGTGAGAAGTAGATTTTTCCTTCCAAAACCGAACTGTATTTCATTTTGGGCGTGACCATATTCAATATTTTATCAAATATCTTCTTCAAAAATATTGATTTTTTGAACTAAATTGCAAATTTTAATTATCAGAAACAAAAATAAACTTGATTTTTAAAACACAAATGTAAATAACGGCCAAAAATCGTTGGATGGCAGTGCTGCTATCTGTTAGGGAAATTTATAACCTGATGCTTAATGTGCCTTATCTCTTAAAAAGTTTATTCTCTCAGTATTTTTCATTTTCTGGAAAGAATATTGTTAGTTAAACTGTTATTAATAGTGAACTAAACTATACACTGATACAGACTTATTTACCACATTATTTTACCCTTAATTTAATTAAGCTTACTTAATTTAATTTTACCTTTCAGACATTATTTTACCCTTAAACAAGAGCTGTTGTACTATTTGTTCTGTACATACAGCACGTTGGTGAAACATAGTCTCTAAGTTCACTAGTTTCGTGGTCCGCTTGACCAATTAATATATTACAATTAATTCAGGTTTTTAGTTGAGATAAAAAAGTCAATAGCACGAGCGGGATTCGAACCCACGATCTTCGGCTAGATACGCTGCTGCTCAACCACCTGAGCTATCGTGACCTCGATCCACTCGGACACTAACTTCCCATCTCAACCGCACTGCATTGAAAAATGGCAAAAAGTAGGGAAAATTGAAAACGTGCGGTCATGCAACAAGCCGAAGATCGTGTGTTCGAATCCCGCTCGTGCCATTGACTTTTTCATCTCAACTAAAAACCTTAATTAATAGTCTCTATGATTCAGATTACTATAGAGTACATTGTAAACTATTTATTTAATTTTTTTTAAATTTATAAGTTTTAGTGGTTAAGAACAGTAAAAAAAATTAATTTGATTAATGTTTCAATTTTTTATATGATTTTGTATTAGAGAAATTGAAATTAATTAATAATCATACTGAGGTTTTCATATTCGCATATTGTTGTTGTATATCAGTAAACAACGTCAGATAAGAATTTGTGTTTATATTTTCACTTAAGGTTTATACAGGACCATAGCCAGGTAAGGAAAGTTCAAATACTAATATATAAGTGTTTATTTTATTTTATAATAATTATTTTTTTCCATTTAACAAACTGTGATTTAATTGATTTTTAATCATTTTGAGGTGTTGAGAACATTGAAATATGCATTATAATGTCTTGCTTATTTAAACAATGATGCTCATTACCTTTGGGATTTAAATGAAACAACCAATTCTTTTTTTTTTTACTTTTATTCTAAATAGTATTTACATGCTGAATACTAGCTTTTATTTATTTAAACTCGGCCAAAGAATAATTTTACAACCCATATTTTATTTTAAAAAATCCGTTTTGGATGATAATTATTTAATTGTTATAATTTTAATGTAGTTATTCCCTTTTTTAATTTATTTAATGTAGTACACAAATTGCCTCAGCTGGTTTTATTCACTTGGGTAATTTAATTTTTAGAAAATTTTCAAAAAATGTGTGCTCAAAATTATGAACGTTGCATATGGAAAATTTAACCAAAACTACCAACAGTTCAGTCTAATTTAAACTCAATATTTTTTGCCTTTTGTTAATGCTATTAAAAATTAAATAAAATTGTTTCTAATAAATTAAAGAGTATCCATGGTAGCATTCAATAATAAATAAGACTGTGGGTTTTATAAAAAACGAAAGGAAAAACTTTATTGCTGCAAATCGTACAATTAACGATCATAAAATGGATGTTAGTTTATTTACAAGGGACAGACAAGTGAAAAATAAAAGAGTTAACAAAAGGTAAGGGTATTTGTTAAATTTCAGTTAAAATTGAATGTAATTTGTGGGAGTTTTATGTTTAAAAAATTTTCAATAAGAAATTTTTACCTAAAGCCTCTGTTTTTGAAATTTAACTTTTTCCAGAATACATTACAATCTAAGGGATATAATATAAAAAGATCAGGGATAAGGTAAATTTGAAAAGAAAGAAAAACAACCAGTTCCTTCGTCAAATTTTCGAGGAATAAATCTCCTTCATCATTGTTAATAATTCACAAGGTTAACAAATTCAAAATTATGGCTTCAACGATAGTAAAGTAAAAAACAAATTCATAAATGGAGGGCTTAATGTCCAACTATTATGGGTCAAACCACCTTTATAATAATTTGTTCATACTATTATCAATTAAAAAGACATAGGCATTGCTGGGATTTGAACTAAGGACTGCTGGCATTTTAAATACGAGGCAGGCACCATAACCACTTGGGTGCCACTTCAACCATAATATTTTTTTCAAAGTTCTAATTAGAATGGATGGTTGATAGATATCATCCACTCTTCAAATCCAAACCCATAAATTTATTATGGTTGAAGTCATAATTTTGTATATTGTAAATAGATCATATTTGTTAATTTGTGAATTATCAATCATCACTGATGAATGTGATCTGTTCCTTGAATGCTTGACAAAGGAACTGATTGTTTTTTTCTTTCAAATTTACTTTAACTCGGATCTGTTTTTCTATCTAATTATAATATTAAGGCTGATATCAAGCATATTAAGATAAAATCTAATGTATATTTTGGTGCTTTGTGAAAATAACATCTGCCATATACTTTCAAACCTTTTAAAGTCGCTTGGCTTTTATGGATATTTATACCTCTTTCTTACTGCAGACGTATCAGAGAGACGTGGATAAAAACCATTTACATAATTTAAAGTGCTTTTGAAAATTCCACATCCCCCCATCTGCCTCAAAGCACCCAGAAACCCACCCTGTACAACATGCCTGTTAGGACTGCCCCCCCCCCCATAGAGTAGCTTCCTGGTTACGGCTGTGTTTTATGCCGATTTTATAGAGTTGGCATGGCAAACAGAGTCTACAAATGGTTATAAAAAAATTCCTTGGTTCATTGATGCTGCAAGTTTGGGCAGTATTGTAGGTTGAATGGTTTTGGTGTATTTGCACACTCCTTTGGCAATTTTTCTCTTACATTGTGTGAAATTATGTCAGTGACTGCGACCATTGCTTTTTCGGAGCCTGAGACCAAAGACCAGCCTCTTTGGCAAGGAGGTTGACTTGGCTATTGAACATATAGTTGCTATGATATTTTACCCAAATCAGGAAAGCATCCGTACCCTTTTTACTTAAGCCTAACAAGTGTTGTTTAATTACTGTAATCAATGGGTTCTTATTGCATTACGGTATTCCATTATGGTCATTGGGATTAGACTTTTCATAACAAATTATGAGAATCACCTGCTCTAGTGCTGGATATTATTGATTAGACAAAACTTAGCCTTGTCTGTCCTGCCCACCGAAGTTCACTTGTAACATTTCAAACACTGACTGGATCACCCAACAAAGAATGGTCAGTGGATGTTTCAATCTTCACATAAAAATTTTAAAAAAAGAACAAGGGAGATTCTGATTTTCCAGGTCTAGAACATGCTTACTCTATGGATCCAATGCATGACTCTTTTCTATTATGTGGGACATGTCGACTATTTTCTGTTCGCCAGAAATATATCTACTCCCAAGATGGATTTGTAGTGATCCAGATTTTGAGCATTAGATTGTCATCAGATTATGCTAGTAATATACTAAGCAGACTGTCTGCAATCTGCTTGGAAACTATTCTGTAGACTACTAGCATAGACTGATGAGCATTTAATGCTTGATCTCGGCAAAACCAGTGAGCGGCATTGGCCGTAAAGCAGGTAAAATGATCTCTTCTCCAATTAAAATTTTCTGACCATTATGTAGTCCAGAGATTCTCTGCTGATTCACCTCAAAAACACCATCAGCATAGATGGACATTGGTATGATATGAAAATAAATAGACAATAAACTTTGGATATCTAAAACATATATAAAAAATTAAAAAAATCCTTAAAAATTATTTAATCAATTATTTTGCCTCTCTTCCAATCAATTGTGTATCCTTTGCTTAAAAATTATTGTTTTTTATTTATTTTATCCTGTTATTAAGAGTGTTTGTTTTAATCCCTAATTAATACAGTTTAGCAGAATGTTCCTATAGTATATTTTATTTATTGGTTTATGGTAATTTAAGGATGAAACATTTTAATATTTTAAATGTTAATTTAATACTGTTTTTGTCTTTTTCCAGGAAACTTAAAATGTCTCTTCGAAGCATAAAACAAGAGTTTATCACCAGTAGCAACCGTGCAGTTGAATTTAAACTTAGTAAGTCGGGGGGAAAAATTATGCAACAATTGTTGAATATTATAGAAAAAAAATGAATTCCCCTTGTTTCTCAATTTGACAGGATTGGATATATTGAATGAATATGTTTGAAATATTCCCATATCACAAAAATGGTCTAGATGATTCTTTTAAGTTAAATTTGATAGACCATTATTTTTTATTCTCTAATTTCGTGGTCCGCTTGACCAATTAATATATTACAATAATTAATTAAGGTTTTTAGTTGAGATAAAAAAGTCAATGGCACGAGCGGGATTAGAANTGTCCGAGTGGATCGAGGTCACGATAGCTCAAGTGGTAGAGCAGCGGCGTATCTAGCCGAAGATCGTGGGTTCGAATCCCGCTCATGCCATTGACTTTTTTATCTCAACTAAAAACCTTAATTAATTGTAATTATTTTTTATATTGGAAATTAGTGAAATAAATAAAAATTAGTCATCTACAACTCGTAATTTTGTCATTACTTGTCCATTTTAGTCTGCCTATCCTAGCTGGATTGGTCTGTCATATGTCTTGCCATCTTACAAAAACCCGCGAGGATCTGCGGACTAAAATGAACAACAAAATTCCATGTTCATTTACCCCACATAAACGGATAAATCTCACATAATTCTTACATATACTTTATAAACATTTCGTCTCCCTCTCAGAACATACCAAATCAAGTTAATAACACGAAAAGAATTTTTTTATTTACTAAAAATAGTCAAAAGCTTAAAAATCATTCTACCCTACACTGTTTTGTCAATAGCGCAGTTTATTTAAAATAATGTTATTACAAAACTTTGTTTTAGTACGCAATGCATGTGATCTATGGAATGACAATGGAATTTTCAGACCAAAAATGTCTCATCAAATTTTTGGAGAAGAGTAATTTTGCACATTTTTTCACCTTTTCATTATAATCATATTGTTTTTCTAATATATTTTTCTATAGGGAACAAATTTATGGCTATGAAAACCTTGTAATTAAAGTGAATTATGCTGCTGCCAGTTTGACAATATTTATAAGCATATACTACAAAGAACGTCTTGAAGATGCTATGGTAAGTCTGAAATTTTGACCATATCGATTGTCAGGAACACTATTAAAAAACTATATCATTAATGCTATTTTAGCCAGCAAATATTATGAAAACACTAGCAGACAAATATGAATGTAGAAATTTTGTAACTAATATCAATGAGTTTGAAAGGCTTCTTAAAAATGAAGAAAGCTTCAAGCCGTTTGGTGATTTACTCAACAAATTCACAATCGAGAAGAGTAAGAAAATATCAGTTCTTTTGTAAAATTTCTACTGTATGTCTTTTATATATTTTGACACTAAACAATGACGTAATTTAAGTAAGATTACTTGGATTGGGTTAAATACAAGTCAGTTGAGTACTTAATTAGGCTACATATTTTCTGTATTATTTGAAGAATTTTCCTTTGAAGATTTTTTTATTACAATAGTTTATAAAGAATTCTTGATATCGGATGCACCCTAAGTAATTATTTTAATATTATAAAAGGAAATAAATTCGCAGTATACCAGAATACCCAAACTAGGTTGGTGAAAATGCAAAGTTCATGACCGGATCCAGCTCAATGCCTTCTCTGATTTCAAGGTACCACAGGTGAGGTCTCTAGCCTGCACCCTGTCCTAAAAAAACTAATCAGGGATTCTGCCATCCTGACCTCAGGAACCATACTCATCAAATATTAGCATAAGCAGATGATGCAGACAACATAGCACACACACTCCCATAACTAAAGGGTGCTTTTCTTGCATCATAGGAAGCAGCCTTAACCATGGGTCTTATTATTAATGAAGAGAAGAATTTGTATGTAGAAAGTGATAACGTCCCACTCAGAGATGGACTGCAAGTGGGCTCTTCTTTCAAAGATCAACAGATTCTATCTCGGCTCCCAAATTAACTTCTTTAATAACATCTCTTAGGAGATCAGTAGGAGAATCTGCTAATAGAGTTATTTTGGCCTTTCAAAATATTTCAACAGCAGCTTAATCTCCAGGAACACAAAAATCATATATCAAACCCTCATCTGTCCAGTACTGAAGTATGCTTCATTTGTGACAACTGGGAAGAAAGGTTGGAAGGCCTAAGCTTAGGTGGCTTGACGGAATGATGCGAATTCTAGGAGCTTGTACCTGGAAGGCAGCAAATGACAGGGACTTCTGACTCAAACTTATTGGGGAGGCCAGGACCCCAATGGTACAATATCACAAGTAAATTTTCAAGTCCAATTTTTTGGACAGCCTATTTTATTTTTGCACCATCCACAATATAGAGATATTTAGGGATTTAGTAACGACTATATTATTATTATTATTTATTATTTATTATTTATTATTATTATATTATTATTATTTTGTAATAATGTGGTTGTTAATAGCCTAATATTGTTTCAGGTGAAAGTTCATTACACACATTCTCAATTTATAAATGTTCAGCAGAGACAACAGGTTTTTTGGAATATCATTCTAAGATGCAAACATTTCTACTGTGGTTCATTGATGCAGCAAGTTTTATTAACACCAATGACAAATCCTGGAAATTTTATGTCATGTAAGATAATGAATATAACAAAAAATTTATAAATCATAATTCCTTTTTCCTTTCTTAAATTTTTAATCTAAAAAATATTTTTTTTTAAACATTAAAAGAAAGTGATAGCTTTGGTGGGCCAGATTGGAAGAAAAGTTCTTATTTATTTCCATTCACTAATTTCGTGGTCCGCTTGACCAATTAATATACTACAATTAATTAAGGTTTTTAGTTGAGATAAAAAAGTCAATGGCACGAGCGGGATTCGANCGCCGCTTCTCTACCACCTGAGGTCACGATAGCTCAGGTGGTAGAGCAGCGGCGTATCAAGCCAAAGATCGTGGGTTCGAATCCCGCTCATGCCATTGACTTTTTTTATCTCAACTATAAACCTTAATTAATTGTAGTTCTTATTTATTAAGAGCACTGTAGATAGGTGGCTAATGGAGGATTTGAATTGTAGAATGGTCATCCTCATCAGATTAAGAATAGGCCATGCAAGGCGATTGTAGTTTTCGGGCCTTATTTTAAGCCAAAGCCCTTGCGTATATGTCTGGCATGAAGAGAAGCCAGTTAATTGAAGGGTTTCCTTGGCTCCATAAAGAGAGTGTGTAGGAATGGTACCTGATATGGTACTCCCTGAGCACAGCAGGGAGTATTTTGCGTTGCCTGTTCCAATTTTTAGAAGAAACAGGACTGTTTTACTGTATATAATACTTTATAATTATCTGGTTTTATGTTTCTTTGAGAATATTGAAAATGAATGTATTTATTAGAGTGAAGTGTGAGAGGACCAGTGGTTAACCGAAGTATAATATTATGTGAGGACAATTTATTAATCGCACTTGAATATGAAAATGAATATTTATTTATAAACCCGATGGGTGGTCCTTGGAGGATCTGAATTGTAGAAGATGGTCATCCCACCCAATTAAGAATAAGCCATGTGAGGTTGTAACATGGAACCTTACTTTTGAGAAAAAGCCCACATATATATCCATCATATAGAGAAAGGTTGTAGAGGTGTCCACTTAAGTGAAGAGTGCCTTTGGCTCCTTATAGAGACAGTGTAGGAATACCACTTGATATGAGAATTGTGCTTAAACATTGGCCTTAAATTAGGTTAGTTATATAATAGGTGTAAAGTGTGATGTATAAATATCGATCTCCACCACTCTGAGTGAATGATTTGTAAGTACCAAAGAATGTATTTCAGATTGAGTGGGTTTGAATCTAGAAACTGGTTGTGTTGGGGGCTGACTTAACTGTTGATAGCTTCTGGAGCTCAACCTAACTGGCTGGATGGGTAAGATCAAGGTCTAACCCCGGACTGCCAAAACAAAGGTGGTTGATTTTCAAGGCCTGCCGGTAGTTTGTTTTAAAGTACAAAAGCCGGAACTGCCAGAGAGCCGCCAGAAGTGATGGTCTCAATTCTGTACAAGTATGTATGTACATGTGCAGATTTGAGATTATATAAACCAGTAAATCAGTCGGTCTTAAATTAAAATATATTGGTTTTAGACAAGATCTCTTTCATTATTACTTCTTGAAGAATTTATCCTGAGTTATTTTCCATTAGAAATTTATTGATCTTTCTCTATTTTGCTGAATGTAATTTGTACTAGTTATTGTTTTTTTTACAGTTATGAAAACTACAATTCCGCAAACAATACACCACAGTATGCATTCGTTGGGTACTTCACCGTTTATGAATTCTACTGTTATCCTGACAAAATTCGACCTCGAATTAGTCAAGCATTGATTCTGCCTCCATTCCAACGTATGGGACTATGTGCAAAGCTTATAAAAACAGTACAAATGCATTATTCTTCTATGAAAGAGGTTTTTGACATTACTGGTGAGATTTCAAATATATTTTTTTTACAAAGCAGTGTAAGCATTTTTGACAGTCAAACAATCAATTAAAACATAAAAGTGAAATAAATATACATAAAAACCACTTTTAAAAGTCAAAATCAGTCAAATAATCAGTAAACCAAGGAGTTAGTTTAATCAAAATTCTGAATTATCTATGTTTTTTTGTTATAGTTATAAGTAGTGTATAAAAAGAACCACCACATGTAACAAGTTAACAATTTTATTTTATTGTAGTGGAAGACCCTGATATAAGTTTTCAAAGGGTCAGAGACTACGTTGATTGTTCCAATTGTTTACATTTGGTTTCATTCCAACCAGAAAGATTATGTGCAGGATTCCATAATGATATGATTGAAGAGGCAAGGATAAAACACAAAATCAACAAGGTGATTGCCATTCGATGCTTTATATAATTGAAATATTAACTTTTTTTAACAATTTTTTTGTGTCTTGTTTTAAGAAACAAGTGAGGAGAATTTATGAAATCCTAAGATTCTACACTACCAATATCTATAATGAAACACAGTACAAAGAGTATGTGCAAGAAGTACACAAGAGACTAAATGCAGAATTTCAAGTAATTAACAACTGTTATTTTTAATATTTTCAATAATTTTTAAAAGTTTTTTATTATGCTGATACAGATTAAATTGATCATTAGATGTCATAAGAGGGGAACCACGACTGCGTGGTTAGGGTGTCTGACTCATATTTTCCACAATAATGGTTCTGGGTTCGAATCTAGGTATTGCTGTGGTTTTTTAAGTAAGGGGTCTGGCCATTGTGATGTATAACCAATAGGCCATTCTTGAGTATTCCCAATTTTTTGGAACCTCTAGCTCATGTTTAATAGTAACTTTATTTTATGTAGTATTTTTTTCAATTAATTAAGGTTTTGGTTAAGATAAGAAAGTCAGTGTCACAAGCGGGATTCGAACCCACGACCTTCGGCTAGATTCGCTGCTACTCTCCCACTTGAGCTATCCTAGCTTCGATCCACTCGGACACTAACTTCCCATCTCAACCCCACCTTTTGAATTTTCCCTCCTTTTTGCCATTTTTCAAATGTCGTGTAATCTATTTGATTCTCGCGACAAATGAAATGGCCACGGAGAGCTTTAATGAAGTATACTTCATTTTGCTTATTACATCTATGAGGTTTTGTGGTCCGATTGACCGAATAAATTCTTTTCAATTAATTAAGGTTTTGGTTGAGATAAAAAAGTCAGGGTCACAAGCGAGATTCGAACCCACGATCTTCGGCTAGAAACGCCACTACTCTACCACTTGAGCTATCGTGATTTCGATCCACTCGGACACCAACTTCTCATATCAACCCCACCTTCTGAACTTTCTCCCCTTTTTGCCATTTTTCAAATGTCGTGTAATCGGATTGGATTCTCGACGACAAATGAAATGGCCACGGAGAGCTGTGGGGGGGGAGATGGGAAGTTGGTGTCCGAGTTGATTGAAGACACGCTGGCTCAAGGGGAGAGTAGCGGCGTATCTAGCCGAAAGTCGCGGGTTCGAATCCCGCTTATGACACTGACTTTTTTGTCTCAACCAAAACCTTAATTAATTGAAAAGAATTTATTTGGTCAATCGGACCACGAAACCTCATAGTCTTACGTAATATGTTGGCTGTATGTTTTCAACCGCACTAAAACCCGCTAGTCTTTTGTGTCTTGTTATTCAGCGTTTTTGGCCAGTAAATTAGACCTCCATGCAAAGTCAGCCAGCGCATCTATAAAAGACAACTTGCCTAGAATTAGTCTGATTTTGCATTTTTACTCACAGAAGTTATATTTTTTCAGAGGCGAAATATAAATTTGCTGAAAACGAACCGTGCATGCTTAAAACAAAAACAGATTTCAACACAACTAAAGAAAATAGTCCCTAAGCTGAATGAAGAGTACACAAAGGTGCTTAATAGAATAATGGAATATCCCCTGGAGTATTAACAACAGTATATTATTTAATAAACTAATTAATAAATTTTTTGTTTTTATTTTATTCCATATTTTTTAAGTTGTTCGTACAATGTACAAAATAAGTCAAGTATCCTGCTTAAAGCCATCACAAAATGTACAGCATTATTTTCCTGACCAATACTCGATTCAGTCATTACAGATCATTTCAGTAATGATCATTTCAGACAGTCTGTCTGTCCTCACCATACTAGTCTGTCGGATGGGTCAGCACTTCGCCATCTTCAGTGCCAGACACAGTGAAGATAACATCCATATTAGCTATACTTGGTATTATTCATATCTCTAAAATGATAATCTCTAGATGGGGGTTTTCACACTGAAAAATAATTTTACAGATAAAACGAAATCTAATCAAGTTAAATGATATAATTAAAAATTATTGAAAAAAAACTTATTGTTCGCCCGACCACGTTATTGCTCGAAATGTCTATAAAACTAGACGTGTAATATAGTCAATGTATATTGACAGGCGAAAAATTCCGCCCCCTTGTAATATAACGTGATTTGTATATATTTTTATATATTAGTCAAAGTTTCTCGTTTTTTAACGTTTAATAATTGAGTCTTTGTCTAAAAAAAAGTAAATGGCTAAGGAAAACGTAAAATAAAAAAAATAACAAAGTTTAAAAAAATACGGACAGATAAAATCTGTTTTAATTTTGTTTTAGATTTTTAATTAACATTTCAATATAGTGTATTTTCTTCTCTTGCCTTAATTCCATCTGGAAGACGCCTTGGCATACGTTCTACCAGTCTGGAATTGTCTCTTTGCTAGAGGTTAGCCCATTGTTCACGAAGAGTCCTTTCAAGATCGTGGAATGTGTCAGGAAGTGATGGACGTGTTCTTATTCACCTTTTGAGGTTATCCCATAAATGTTCGATGGAGTTCAAGCCTGGCCAGGCTAAGACTTTGATGTTATGCTGTTGAAGGTATGTTTGCACTATGCGAGCGACATGTGGACGGGCATTATCATGCATTAGAATCGGATTTCCACTGGTTTCATCGAGGATAAGCAAAGCATGATATTCAAAAATTTTATCCACAGCGAGTGGCCGTCAAAGACCCTCCACGAACAACAACCAACTCTGGGCGACTCTCCATCCCAATTCCCGCCCATCTGGAGATCATAGAGCAAATGTACAATCATCTGTAAAAAGTACAGCAGACCAATGATCCAGAGAATGGCTGTATTCTCGAGCAAATGGGAGCCCTGCAACTCTGTTTGGTCTGGCCAATTCTTGTCCTATTAAGGGACGAAGAGCCATCAGTCCACACTGATTTCAGAAATTTGGACACCTTGAACTTCCTGGAGCTGATGATTCGCTTCAACAGAAGGCGCCGGTTTCGCAAAATTCTTAAAGTCAAAAACGGTCATCCTGTAGTTCTGTTACCCTAGGGCGTCCAGAACCGGGCCTTTTATGGTTGGACCCAGTTTCTCGAAAACGTCTAAGGCGTCTCGCAGGGTTTGGCAACTCCGATGGCAATAGCCGCAAACCTGATGAAACGTCCATCATCAATAAGTGCCACATCACGCACAACACTCAGCGCTAAGTGGCACTTTTAAGTTAAAAAACTGAAATTAAGAAAACAAAGATGAAAACTTAGCAGTTCATTGCTTCAGAATTCAAATGAGACTGAATAAATATTTGAAATTCCGAAAAAATTTAACATTTAAAAAATAGCATATACAAATATTTGATAAAAACAATGAGGCAAAGGACAAGTGTTACAATTTAAAAAAAAAAAAAATTGCGTTATCAATAATTTTATTGTGCTATTCTATTTACAAGCTAGATACTTGAACATCAAGGGCGAAAGGCAAATTTTAATTAAACTTCTTGATAAAAGGCAAGTAGAGATTAAATACTGCTACAATAATTCTCTTGTTCAGAACAGTTTCATTCTCTCCATGTCGTTCATTGAAGTGTTCGTGTAAATTTTGGGACGCATAATTCTATCGAGAATGAAGTATTTCGGAGCTTTTTTAGCTTTTGTCGCGTTTTGCAACGCCAGAGCTCTCTTTGACGAAACAGGCTATAAATGGGTAAATAAAATATTACATTATTAAAAAAAAAGTTTAGTTCATCTTCGGTTTAATACTAAATGTCGACGCTAAATGATTAAATAATAATAATAAGATTAAACCAGAGCCAATTAAAATCCTCCATCACCAATGGCTTAAAGATAACACTTCCTAGGGCACAATTGGTGTATAGCAATATACACCAGTTATATGGTATATACCAATAACATGACCAAATATTAAACAATTGCTATTTTTTATTTGCTATTACATTGAAAAGGAAAATAATATGGAGGATCTTATTTGATAAATATATATTATAAAAACCAAAAGAATCTTCTAGAAAATAGGATAAAAACTTATTTGTGCAAAAACCTGCTCGCATTCCTTTTAAACACTATTTACAGCACTTAAATATGAATTTTATTACAACTGTTGGAAAGCTGAATTTCCCTTCTATCAGGCTATATCACAAGGTAAGATTTTAAGTAAAAAAATAAATAAAAGATACTTTTTTGAATCCAACGCTATGTTTAACAATCAAAAAATGATGTAGGAACAAGTGCTGCTTTCTTCACTTGTAATAATAATTCACAGTATTTATTATACCACCTGCATGTAGCAGCTTCACTGTGAGCTTATAGCAGTAGCTGAGTGTTTAGCTATATTAGACCCATCCAGTAAAACGATATCTGTACTGATTTTTTATCGGAGCTACTGACAATCAAAAACAACTTTTCTGTTCATCGATTAATATAAAACATTTTATTTGCCGTTGAATCATTGCAAAATGAGGGAAATAGTGTTAATAGTGCGTACATGTGGACTCCGGGGCAGTGCGGAATATTTGGTAATGAGAAGGTGGCTCGTTTGGCAAAGCAGGCTGTCTTTGATACAAATAAAGTTTCAAAAACACCAAAAACGATGTGACAACTTGGCAACTATGGCAGGAAGAATGGGGACCGACTTCTAATTTCAAACTTAGGGAGGTAAAAGATTGCGTTAAACCGTGGGCCTCATCTCTTAGGGGTTCCAGGCACGAAGAAATTGAGGCACGTTTAGTGATGTTTGTAGAGAAAGGATAACAGTTAAGCACATTTTGACCAATTGTAAAAAATATGTTTGATGTTTGTTTTATTTATTTTAAGTACATATACATTATTTACTTATTTACATATTTGCTCAGAGTACCAATTTAAAACTTCACCTATCACGTACATATAGATACTACATTAAACTAAATGAATTTTGGTTTTGTTGGAAAAATGGACTAAAAAAACCAACACTAACGAACACTTATTGTCATAGCTTGCTTACATTATTTTTAATTCTTTACTTTCTTTAATTTTTATGTTTGTAATACATGTGTACATTATACTGTCCTATTGTTCTTATTCAATATTTTTGCTGTGCGCATTCTTCATAAAGAAGTCGACAATATAATATAATTCTTAATGTAGGGCATATTTGTGACCTTATGCTGTTTGCATATCGGTGCCTATCTTGATGCATCAATAGAAAATCTTAGAAATTTATTCAGAACCCTTTTCGATTTTTTAACGTTTGTGTTAGAGGTAAAACTCCAGGCGGAGGCTGCGTATAGGAAGTACAGGTCTTATCAGTACTTTGTGTAATAATAATTTATTGGCAAAACTGAGTGCTGAGTTTCTGCTCAGCAAGGGAAATAATTGTCCTGTTATACCTTTACATTTGTTAACAACTGCATTAAAGCTGTTCTGTGAACGTAAGTCTTCTTGAGACCATTCTCTGTTTCGATTTTCTAAGGCTATTTTGTGATATTGTGAGCGTCGCCTTTCGGTGAATAAGATGGTCTGAGTTTTGTCAACGTTAATCATTATTGATTATTTGGAGGTCGTGAGATGCGGTCTGGTTTTAGAAAAACGTTTTCTTTATTGTGCCAACGTTTCGATCTTTATTGAGATCATCTTCACAGCTCAAAGTGTTTGTTTTCCAAGTAAATGTGTCATTCTTGGCTGTCGTGTTGAGATTGCCAGTGAGATATTGACAGTTTTTTTATTGTTTATTTTTTATTACATTTGACATTTACAACTACAAATATTGTATTAAGTAAATATGTTCATATATGTTGAATTGTCATTTGAGTCTCTTGTAGGAGAAGTTGCCCAGTGGCCTTCATTCTAAAAGCTTTTCAACCTTCACTCAATGAGGAGGTCTCGGGCCAGTTTTGCTTCAATCGTCTTGGAGGATTTTCAGGTAGAGTTGGAAGTGCTAAATGTCATACTAATAGATTATGATAATTTGGAGATCGTGAGATGCGGCCTGGTGTGACGTAGGCTTTAGAAAAACATTTCTTTATCGTGCCAACGTTTCGATCTTTATTGAGATCATCTTCAGGGCTCAAAGTGTTTGTTTTCCATGTAAATGTATCATTTTTGTCTGTCGTGTTGAGTGCCAGTGAGATATTGACAGTCTCAACACGACAACCAAGAATGACACATCTACATGGAAAACAAACACTTTGAGCCCTGAAGATGATCTCAATAAAGATCGAAACGTTGGCACGATAAAGAAAAGGTTTTTCTAAAACCTACGTCACACCAGACCGCATCTCACGATTTCCACCGAATAATCATTGACTAACGGTCAATAAACACCACACATTTGTACTGATAATTTGGAACTGCGGCCTAGTAGCTCATACAGTTTTCTATGTACAAGACTTAAGTTTTGAAGCAATACGGCTATGGCTTTCTTTGGCAACTCTGCCCCACGTGGGATTTGATTATGAGAACAAATCCGAGATAGTTTCTTGGGTTCGGTTCAGATTTCCTATGCTACTTATTTACTTAGCTTTGATAGGCAGTCCAAGTCGGAATTTTAATCGTTTGGCTTTAATTTTTGGTCAGCAGTTCAATTTTTTTTAAAGAATCTTTTATTCAAATCTCCATTTTCAAATTATTAATTTGTGTCGATGGGTCTTTTATAGCATAAATCAAAACAATCTGGAATATCTGGCAATTCGTTAGGACCAGTCGGCCAGCAGGTTGGTTTTCTTGTTGAATGGAAGTTATGCTGGCCTTTTGTCGTTGTTAAACTCGATCCCCAGTCCGTATTTAATATGGTCTCCCCCTATGACAAATCTTTCGGGTTTTGTCTCGGTTGACCGAGATGGACGGTAGATGAGAATATGTGGGAGATAAGCGAGATTTTTTAAGATATAAATAGAATTGGACAACAAAAATTATTTTAAATTTTCGTAAATATGTAATTATGTACACATTAACAAAATAGCATTGATAAAACGCATCATTCCACAGGAGGGAAAATTTTCTTTTCTTGACAATTCATTACCAGGACAATAAGCGATTTGTTGCGGCACATGTCAGTGAGATATTGACACTCTCAACACGACAGACAATGACACATCTACACGGAAAACAAACACTTTGAGCCCTGAAGATGATCTCAATAAAGATCGAAACGTTGGCACGATGAAGAAAATGTTTGCTAAAACCTACGTCACACCAGACCGCATCTCACGATCTCCGAATAATCGTTTGTGAGACTTGTAGAACTTTTATATTTTTTTCTCTATTAGTTCTTCTTTTTTTTCGTGTCGTATGACATTCGGAGGGATATTTTTGATAACTTTAATAGTTTCTTGTTAAAGGGGTGTAAGTATGATACTCTGCCTTGGTAGCGTCCAAATTACTTCTGAGCATGTTATAATCTTCCATGTTGTTGGGTTTAAAGACGGTCCGGTTATATTTGTACTTTATAGTTCTCCCTGTAGGTTTTTCCTAAACTACTTTATCGAGTTTGTATGGGTATCAATCACATTATAAACCAGAATTAGTAGTACTGTGGTATTTTTATCTTTATTTACATTTATTTCTTCCGAGGTATCAGAATCCATTTCCGACTATGCCTCGTATTGGTATTGTACTCACTGTTTTGCTTTTCTTCGAGATTCAGCTTCTACCTCTTCGTGCCTCTTTCGATTTTAGAAGCACTCTCAACGGTCTTCTAAGGTATTGTATTATCCATAACGTGGAAATGCAAAATAAATTATCACGAAATAAATAAGTTGAAAACGAGATCTAAACAAATTGCAACCGTGCGGCTAGTAACGCAACACGGCGTGCAATGTAAACAGTCTATTTTGATCTCGATATCGCTGATCGTTACTCATGAAGACGACTATTGATGTTTACAGTTATGTACGGTTCATATGTTTTATGTATTTGTATAATTTAAATAATATTTATAAATCCCAGGCCCTGAAGATGATCTCAATAAAGATCGAAATATTGGGATGATAAAGAAAATGTTTTTCCAACCAATATCACGCCAGACCGCATCTCAAGATCTTCAAATATTTTTAATTAATATGAATAATTTAGAAAGTATAAATTAAATTTCTTGAAATACGGTCGAGAGAGCAATGACAGGATTAATAGTATATGACAAGATATTAAACAAATTTCTACTCCAATTTTGTATTGCAATAGATAATAGATGTGGCCCTTTCCCACATCTTACCCAGTTTTTAATAATAATTTTAATTTTTGCAAACTCCACTTTATTACTATTTATTTCCGACTGTTTGATTTGGAGAAATCATCCTGACATAAAGCATAAAATGATTATGAACTTAACCGATTGAGTCACCTTAGGTTTTTTTTTAATAATTTCTTTCTAGTATGTACCTGTACCTTATATATCAAAATACATATTATAAATATTAGGTTATAACAGCACACATGTTATGAGAAAACAGCCAACTCAATAAAAGGTTTGCTCTCCAAAGTCAGTCTCAACTTTGAATTTTTATTTTTTATTTTATTTACTTACTATTGTGTACTTTGTATTGTTTCGTTGTTTGTTTTTGCTGTCCGTGGCCGTTTTATTTGTTGTTTATTTTTTATTTCGTTTTCTTTTTGTTTGTTTTTTTTTATGTAGTTTTTTAAATTTGCGTTTTTGGGGTTGAGATGGTCCGTTAGTGGGTTTTCGTGTTTTCTTTGCTGTTTCTTATGTGTTTGTTTTTTGTTTTGTTTTGCCTTAGGTTGTGTGTTTGTTTTTCTGTTGTGTTTCTGGGTTTTTTTTTTTTACGGCAACTTTGATTATTTTCAAGGCTTTTATTGTTTTGTTGTGGTTTTGTGTTAGGTTGTATCGGTAGCTTGTTGTGTACTTTTTGGAATCTGTGCCATTTGTTTCGCTGATTGGAATGTTGTGGTTGTTTTGATGTTATTAACGTAGTACGGCGGTTGGGGGTTTGTTGTCGTGACCTTTGTCTGTCAGGTTTTGCTTTGTTGGCTGTGGATTGCTTTTCTTACAGTGATGTCTTTTGTTCCTCTTTTCCAACGTTGTTGATGTCATATTTTTTGTAATGTTCGTTGTGTTTTTAAGTTTTGCAAAGGTTTTGGTGCTTTTCATTTCATTGAGTTCTTTTCATGTTTCTTCATCTGTAGGCCTGTTTTTTTTCTATTGGCGTGTGTTTTCCGTTTGTCTGGGGTGTTTTTCCCTGTTGACGTTTGGCTCACTTTTTTATTGTCGTGCACTGTGTCAGGTTATGGGCTTGTTGGAATATTTATTTTTCTGTTAATCGTGTTGGTTTCGGGTTTTTCGTTTGGATTTACATGTCTGTTTTACTTGTGTTATTTGAGGTTTTGATTTTCGGTTAGATAGTCCGTTTCTGTAGCGGTTTTGGTTCTGAGGCGTTTCGTTTTTGTTCGAGTGTATTGAAGTTACGATAGGTCACGTTGTCTCGTGTGGTCGTGTTTCGCCGGAGGTCGTGGGTTCGAATCCCGCTCGTGACACTGACTTTTTTATCTCAACTGAAAACCTTAATTAATTGAATGATATTAATTGGTCAAGCGGACCACGAAAACTAGTGAATTTAATCAGTTAATACTATCAAGCTTCGACCTATTTTAAGGTCATCATCAGGGCCTAAATTTCACATTATAAAAACATTTTTGTACAAATGATTTAACAATTAATACAACTATATAGAACTTACAAAACTATATTAAAAATGTCTACAGATGGACATATTGTGATACGACAATATGGCAACCTACGACGACCTCGATCGAACTGACTTTGTTGAAAGGATTAGATGTACTGGAAATTGGATGGCTTGGCGGAATACCACAGAGTCACGTATGTATATCCAAAGTCGCAGTGACATCATCTGTCGAGAGCTTGGCTATGTGGGCACATCGATATGGGTGATGGAAGAGTTTACTACGAAATTTGGTACATTTTTGAGGAATTTTAGAATAAACGGGATTTTAAGGTCCACCTCACTCTAAAGCCATCGTCAGTTAAATGAGAATCAAGAATAAGGTAATAAAGATTGCGTAAGAAACTTTAGGTTTATAGCCTCTGTGCCAGACTTTATAAAAACACTGTCTGATTTGAGTGAAAGTGGCTCCTGGCTCCTGGTTGGTGCATATTGGAGGGCTGATTTCATCCAGTTGTCCACAACCAAGAGGTTGTTGGAGGTCTGTTAGATGGATTCGGATCAGTAGACAAAATTGCGGTGTCATCCGATACAGGTAGAAATGATTGGGGATGTATAGGATAGTCAGAAGTAAATACAATAACATATTGGTCAGAAGATGGTTGGTTCCCTTGTGATCTAATATCTGTCTCGTAGCACTTCACTGTAAAGCAGTCGTCATTTAAATAGGATTCAAGGGTCACGTAATAAACAGTGGGTAGGAAGTGTTTTAATTTATAGACTGGGGAGCCCCTATCAAAACCCTGTGCAACATTCATGTCTTGTGTGAATATTCCAAGTCTGTAGTCTAGGCATAGTACTTAGCATACTACTCGAGTGGATGCGGTAGCTCCTTGTTGATGTACTGTGCAAGACAGTGTTTTGATTTAAACGTTCTCCCTGTTTTGCAACAGTCTTGAATAAGCTCAACGTGTTCTTGGATGCTGGAGGTTGCCTGGTTAACATTGGTCAGTTTATAGGTTTTATAGAAAGGTATAAATGGATTACATTATGAGGCCAAAAGTGTTACGTGCAGAACGCCGGTTTGTATTCTTTAAAACCTATTTTGATACCTAGTTGATAAGTGTGTTCAATCCTCTCACTTTTTTTTTCCTTTTTTTAAGGGAATAAATAGCAAAATGGGACATTTTTTACAGAGCAATATTTGAGTTGTAATGTACGCTAATGGTTAAAATTAACACACCACCCTTAAATTATGAGTTATTAAGGTTTATATTTTTCACACCAGAAATAGGTTAGGTAATTTAAAAAGAAAATGTTTATTATCTAATTCAATAAAAAATTATTAAGTAAAGAACCAGAAAAAAATGAAAAAACCCTATTCCGAGGTGTTAAACCCAGGTTTCGTCGTCAACTCATGGCTTAAGGTGGTCACAAATGTGTTTGATTGGATGTCATATCTGGACTTAGAGCTGGCTACACCAAGCACTCAATTTCAACCCCATTCAGATAGTCATCCATAATACGTGCTCTATGGGGCCCGGCATTACCCTGCAGTAGCAAGAATCTCTCACCGATGTGGGGGGGGGGGGGCAAAAGGCACTACATTTTTCGATTATTTCTTGTAAGCACCTCTGTGAAGTTAGAGATCTTCCTGGCACAACAACTAATTCGGTGCTGGCGTCCAAGAAATACCACTCCAGAACATCAATGGCCCACCGTGGAATGCCACCTGACGAACCAAATAGCATGGGGCAAAACTTTCCCCTGAGCAACTCCATATGAAATTACGCCCATCTGAAGATTTGATGCCAACACTCACCTGATCTGTAAAGAGAACTCGTCCCCAATGTTCCAATGCCCAATTTACAAACATTTCGGACTTGTCCTATCAGATTTCTTTAATTTCATTTCCCGTAACGCTGCGATTTCATAGAGCCTTATGACGGATGAATCTATAGCCTCTCGTCCGTAGACGTAGGTCGACCCCGTCCTGGGCTTCTAGCGTGAAGCGCAAAACAGCCTTCCATTTTGAAAGTTATGAGTGATTTATATTCAGCTTCCAGTCGACTTCTTGCTGGCTACATCATTCCTCTATTAACGTTATCACCCTGACACTATCATACTCACTCAAATGCCTGAATGGAGCTATTGAAAAAGGTTTACGAATAAGATTAATAGCAAATTGAAATCAAGGAAGGAAAAAGATTAATGGAAAGCTGGAGTAGGCGTAGAATGGAATGGCGTAATGCTACTTTTTGTACAAACTGGATTAATCAGTACAAAAGTAAACAAAGGAAGTAAACAAACCAGTATGTACTGTTTATTTTGACTTCGATAGCCCCTAATTCCCTGTAACTAATGTAGAAAGATAATGGATTTAATTTTAAACTAAATAAATTGAATGGTGCGTTAAATTTGTTCATCATTGTAATTGTTTCAGTCTAAAACGACTGGTAAAGAGAAAAGCGTTTTTTTTTCCAACTACAATGTTCCTCCATTTTCAGGTACCGGCAGTTCATGTTAAGAGCAGCGTCGACAACGGAACCTTGACCGATGGCAGTGTAACTCTGTATGAAAATGGAATTTCACTAATCGTCAAAAAACGGGCAAATGACGTTTACGAGTTTCAAGGAAATTGGAGATGGCTGACCTTTGGAGGAGACACCGAAGGAGAGTTCCACGCATCGGTGGATTGGGACCAATTGAAAATCCACACGGATTTCAACTTACAAGAAAAGTTCGTTTTCACCGTCCATCTGCATCTCCAAACGTTGAACGGAGTGTTCCGAGGTGATAAAACCGGCCTTCAGACCTACGAAGTGACTGCAGGTTCGTCCAGGTTCTCTTTAAAGGTGTCCGGAAAAGCCAAAGGGTTTGTCACCAATTACCAAGTTCACACCGAAGTCCCATTCGAACTGGCCGATGTCAACAGTAAACTCGTGGTCAACTTCGACAATAACGACAGTCAATACAAAGCTTTGAGCGGAGCTCTGTGGCTCGGGCCGGTCGGCCTTCAAGTTGACTTCGACAACAAGGGGAAATTTTTCTGCATCGGCCATTTGAATTTTGCAGACGTTTTTAAGGCGACCGCCCGAGTGAACACGAACAATGGATACTTGAAGTTCCATTCAACTTTTCGTTACTCCTTTGAGCACGCCGTGATCAATGCCGAGGTGAACGCCGATTTGGAAGGCGCCTATGATGTAGAAACTAAACTTGCACTTGCAAAAAGCCTCCATCTGAAAGTTAAAATAGACAAGAAGGGAAACATCTCAGGTGGCATCAGGTTTGAGAAAAACGGATATGGTTTTCAGATCGACAGCAACACTAATGCAAATTTACAAATAGAAATTGTAGCCAACGAACAGAACTCCTTAAATTAATTCACCAGGGCCTCATATCGCTCAATATTGCACCTATATACATAACTATTAATCAAATCGGGTTCCCACCGCTTTCTACTTGAAAAATCAACACGCAAAATCTCTAAAACTTGTATAATTTTAAGCCTATGTTTTCGATTTATATATCATATTTGTAACAAAAATAAAATTAAGTTTTAAGCATGATTTCTTTTCTTTAAAACTAAGAGAAAATGTGTGAATGAGGAAGCTAAGAATCTAAAACGAATAATTTCAGTAAGCTATCGGAATACAGAACAGCTGCTACAAAACATTCGGTGTCAAATATCGCGCAAAATCCTTTTTACTCATATCCTGGCACTCTGGGTTTCCTATTTTCCAACGTCTTTCTACATACATGAGCTTCTCTGAAGTTTTAAAAAGTTGTATCGGTAACTTTGGTTACAATGTTTTCTAGTTCGTCGCAGTTGGTTATTTATTACAGGTTTCGCGCTCGGTAAATAGCTGTTGATTAATTGTACGCAGGGAGGCCAGTTGTCATTGCTGTAGCAATAATTGTAGGTGTTTACATTATTTTTAGGTTTGCCTCGTAAGTTAAAAAAGACGGGATTGTCAAGCATTGCTTTACTGCTAGCTTCGGACGTGTTTGACACATTTTTCAGCAATATAAGGTCAATAGTATTTGGATCCAACTGAATGTTGTTTAAAAAGTAAGTCGGCTCATCAGAGAGCAGAATATAGAAAGCTAACTTCACACACTTACCCGATGCAACGCTGTGCGACGCTACCCGATGCTACCCGACTCCTTGTCCGTTTTGGTAGGGTCTACACATCTATGCGATGTCAAGCGCACGCCACAGTCACACAGCGTATATCACAAATCAGTATCACGCAACGCCTCTTTTGTTCTTAATGCATTATTTTGAGCAAAACCATGTAATTAATTGTTAGTTAAATTTTATGAGCACAACCATGTTAAACCACGTTAACCAAATTGTTAGTTAAATTTAATTGTTTTAAATAAAGTTATTCCCGTGTTTTGATAAATTTTCTGCCTAACCATCATAATTAAATAATTTTTATAAAAACTCATGAATTTTTGATCACGTTTAATTTGGTTTACATTAAATAACATGTTGTAATTAGTATAACAACAAAATTACATGCACTTAGTTTGAAATAAACTACAAAAACTATGAGTGTCCTGTTCTGATGCTACCCGACGAAAATGGTGTAATTTTACGAGCAAAACTATGAAATAAATTGTCAATTAAATTTTATGAGCACAACCATCTAATAAATTGTTCCAATTTTTGTATATTACGCCAATAAATTGTTAGTTAAATTCATTATATCAAAAAATCGTATTCCGGTGTTTTGATTAATTTTCTACCAAACCATTAAAATTAATTTTTTTTAATCACAGTTAATTTGGTTTATATTAAAATAAGTATGTTGTAATTAATATAACGACAATAATATATGTAGTTTGAAATAAAAATATGAGTGACCGGTTTTTGGTCTTCGACTATACTCGATGCGACCCGACGAAAATCTGGACAGTGGGGATCGCGGATCGTCGGGTATGTCAGCTTACCATCATAATTAAATAATTTTTATAAAAACTCATGAATTTTTGATCTCGTTTAATTTGGTTTATATTAAAATAAGAATGTTGTAATTAATACAACGACAAAATTACATATACATAGTTTGAAATAAACTACAAAAATATGAGTGTCCTGTTCTGACGCTACTCGACGAAATGGTGTAATTTTATGAGCAAAACCATGAAATAAATTGTTAGTTAAATTTTATGAGCAAAACCATGAAATACATTGTTAGTTAAATTTTATGAGCAAAACCATGAAATAAATTGTTAGTTAAATTTTATGAGCATAACCGTGTAATAAATTGTTAGTTAAATTCATTATTTCAAAAAATGGTATTCTGCGTTAAAAGGGTTGGCTCTGGGACAAATTACAAGCTTCGTACCTTTCACACCCATCTGAAATCGTAAGGCAAATCTACACTCATCTGTAAAAAGTACAGCAGACCAATAATCCAAAGACCAATAGCTATGTTCTCGAGCAAATGGGAGCTCTGCAACTCTGTTCTAGTCAATTCTGGTACTTTTACGGGGCGAAAAGCCATCCGTCCATACTGATTTAATCTTCTTCGAGCAGTACGTTCGGAAATTTGGACACCTCGAACTTCCTGGAGCAGATGAATCTCTTGAACAATAGTAAGGCGCCGGTTTCGCAAAATTCTTAAAGTCAAAAACGGTCATCCTGTGGTTCTGTTACCCTAGGGCGTCCAGAACCGGGCCTTTTATGGTTGGACCCAGTTTCTCGAAAACGTCTAACGGCGCTCGCAGGGTTTGGCAACTCCGATGGCAATAGCCGCAAAACTGATGAAACGTCCATCATCAATAAGTGCCACACTACGCGCAACATCCTCAGCTCTAAGTGGCACTTTTAAGTTTAAATATTGAAATTATGTGTGTGGTGTTTAATGACCGTTAATTAATGATTATTTGGACACATCTACATAGAAAACAAACACTTTGTGCCCTGAAGATGATCTCAATAAAGATCGAAACGTTGGCACGGTTTTTCTAAAACCTACGTCTCACCAGACCACATCTCACGATCTCCAAATAATCATTAATTAACGGTCACTAAACACTACACATTAAACAGTTTATTGCTTCAAAATTCAAATGTGATTGAATAAACATTTTAAATTCCGTAAAAAGTAAACATTGAAAAATCCTTTATCCTTGTTTTGGATTAAGGATTAAGTGTGTTTCCTTCTAATTGATATTCCCAATTTAAAACTTAGCTTAAACAAATATTTATTGGTTAACAATGATCCAAATTAAGGGCAGAATTTTCTTTTATCGAGAAAATGAGAAAAAATCAATTGGGTGGAATTTTTTGCCTGTTAGTATGTATAACCATAAACCTGCATTATTTTCCGGACAACACAATACGTGGTTCCTACTCCCTGACCATGAACAAAGGATATCTTACGGCAAGGTGTATTAATTCAATTTATTTGAGATAAATAATAAATACATTAGAGTTGCGAAGCATTTAAATTGTGATATACATGTGACAGCAGTTGTGAAATTTCGAAAGTGGTCTTCCCACGGAGATTAATTGTTGTTGGAGGCGGCTCTTATTTTGGAGAAGAGGCTGTGATTTTATTGGTTTTTAGCATGTAAACGTTGCCGTGTAGTGTAGCCTGCTGGAATGGGAAATAACTAGAGTCAGTTGGGGCATGTGGTGGTATCTCCCGAAGGGGGCGGCAAACAGTCTAGAGCCAGCAACCCTCTACGACACTCCCACCGCTTCGCTTAGTAAGACCAGTCGTTCTATTATTTACTTCCTAAACTTTTTTTAAAATTATTTTACTTTACATTATACATAGATTATACAATATCGTCGACTCCGTTTCCTCGTTATCTCGGCTGTCGCCGGCGAACGTCCCCCTCGGCCCCAGGTCCCGTCGAAAGTATAATTTTACAGTCATGCCACTCGTGTACACGACTGCTATGAACGGTATTCACATACACTCGAAGAACGACATTTTTAATTATTTCTATCGAATTTAGTAGAGACTCAGACAAGAAAAAGTCAACTAGTAAGTACATTTCATTTCAATAGCCGTTATTTCCAAGGATAGTTTGGCGAGTACAAGTTCACTGACCTATTTATCTAGCTGAGTTAACTAATATTTCGTGAAGTTTTACACGAGCTTAACTGATCCTCGCTTGTGGACGTTTCAACTTCTTTTGAATAGTACGTTAAACAGTTCAATGTCGATCGCTGTATATTTTTGATTATATTTAATATGTATATTGTAAAGCGTTTAATCAAAATAAAAATAACGCCTGGGTTGTAATGTCAGTGAGGACGATTTCATTGAACAAGAATAGAGAATAACGGAATGTTTACATTTTCATTGCGGTTCTCGTGTCCTTTTTTAAAAGTCCGAGAATATATTTTTTTTTCTCATAAACCTCGCCAAATTTCAATATCTAATTTGTAAATGTTTCGTGTTTGGTACCGACCAAATTTCTCTATTTTTTTTGTCCGGCCGTTTTATCACAAAGAGAAAGGCCTTTCTAGGTGTATAGGAACACAGTATTCCGTGGTTTTTTTTTTTCGTTTTCGATTCCGATTTATTCTAATGAGTAAGAAACCCTTTGAAAATTGAAGTTCCGCCGTGTAAGTTGAGAAGCGCCGGTGCTCACCCCTTGTTGTTTCGGCCCACAATATAAGAGAGGGGAGGTGTGCCGAGAGGTTACCCCAGTTATTTCACAAATGACTATCGATCTGAAATGTACACTAAACTTGCTCGAAGCTCCTTCAAAAAATATGCCACACCCTTTGTTCTCGTGGATGATCGCTCTTGTCACCTGTGAACGTTTTATTACTTCAATTTGGAAGAATGAAAAAAAAAACAGCAACATGTAATGCGAGAGTAGAATGCAGGTTAAATGAAAAACGGTACACTTTAAAGGGAACCGTCTACAAATTTTCTAATTAAGGTTCAGATCAAAACGCTGTGTGATTTTTTTTTTTAAATTTGATACATTTACAGGGATACCAGGGAGAAAACCAATGCACAGTGTTGGCATAAATATTTTTATTTTTATACAGGAGAGAGAGAAAGAGAGATAGGTAAAAAGAAAGAGAGTGAGAGAGATATAGAAAACGCTAAATTTGGATAATTTATATGTACAACGTTTCTATAACTAGCCAAAAAGGACAATAATTATATTGTAGTTAAATTTTTATTGTTAGTCAATAATTATATTATTACGATGTTTGTTTAAAAAAAATTAATTTACAGTCTGATAATGGGCGTAAATTCCTGAAACGTCTAAGGTTTCATTTGGTAAAAAATAAATTTATGAAAACCACATGGAAATGTGTTTAATAATTGTATTACGTTAAACGTTTACGATTTTATTAAACGTACGCAACGCCACGTATTTGTTTGTTCGAACTGTGGTGCATGCAATAAAATTAAAAAAAAAAATGTATAATTAGAACTTTGTAAATAATATAAAAATCTCTTTAAAATCAAAAGAAAAAGAATGAATATTAGAAAAGCCAAATTTTCATTCAAATTAATATTTTTTGCTCCATAAGCAGCAGTCGAATTGTAAATTGTTAGTTTAGTTTTGATTTTTTTTTTTAAATTTAGGGCAAACTGGTTGAACGTCGTAAGCACGAGATGTAGGTTGTTTTTAAACGTTTCTACTTGGCAATTTATTAAAAAAAATTTATTACAATAAGTCCGACTTGTGTCATCGCCCATTATCCACTTTCTTTTTTTGTTTGCCGATAAAACATGCTAGATGTCAAATTAAGGGGTAAACACTAAGTCGGCCTTGGCTTTTGAAAGAACAAAAAAATTGTTCCATAGACAATTAATACATGGATGGACAAATTTAACGCAACCACTCAATTTATTCAGTTAAAAATTAAATTCATTACCTTTCTACCTTAGTTACACGTAATTTAGAGATATAGTGGTCAAAAATAAACAGTAATAATGCTTTGTTTACTTCCTTTTCTTTACTTTTGCACTGATTAATCCGTTTTGCACATAAAGTAGCATTATGTCCTTCTATTCTGCTACGCCTAAAGATCGCCTACAGTTAATCTTTTTCCTTCGTTGATTTCATTTGCTATTATTTTTATTAAATTCATTAGATTTCGTGCTCCGATTGACCAAGTAACATCTTTCAATTAATTTATCTTTATGTAAGGTATTGGTTGAGACAGTGCCACTAGCGGGATTCGAACCCACGAACCTTCGGCTAAAACACTTGAGCTATCGTGACTTCGATCCTCTCGGACACTGACTTCCCATCTCAACATAACTTTTTTATCTCAACCAATATAATAATTAGTCTTACATAAAGACTAATTAATTGAAAGATATTAGTTTTATTATTAAACCTTTTTCAATGGCTTCATTCAGGCATTTGAGTAGAGGAAGGATGCAGCCAGCAAGAAGTCGACAGGAGGCTGAGTATAAATCACTCTTCGGCGGTTCAGTGAAACAGGGCTTCACACTAGAAGCCCAGAACACAGGGTCGACCTACGTCTACGGACGAAAGAGCCGTAGATTCGTCCGTCATAAGGCTCTACGAAACCCCTGCATTACGGAAAATGTGATAAGCACTCTGCTAAGACAAGTCCGAAATGTTTCGATTTCCTACAGGACTGAAGAAGAAGGCTCAACGAAAAGAACCTCAGGGCTGGGCAACCGGCTCGTGTACCTTTTCTTACCAGAGCACAGAAAATGGCCAGACTTCAATTCGTACCATATGTATAACTTATGAATTGGACATTGGAAGATTTGGGACGAGTTCTCTTTACAGATTAGGTGAGAGTTGGCCTCAAATCTTCAGATGGGCGTAATTTCATATGGAGACGCTCAGGGAATTGTACGCCTTATGCTGCCAAGGTTCCTCAGATGGCATGCCATGGTGGGGCAATGTTCTGGGGGTGGCATTTCCTTGGACGCCCGCACCGAATTGGTTGTTGTGCGAGGAGGGTCTCTAACTTCACATACAAGACATAATCGAAGAGCATGCAGTGCCATTACCCCCACATCGGTGAGTGATTCTTGCTAATGGAGCATAATGCCAGGCCCGATAAAGCACATTGTGGATGACTACCTGAACGAGGTTGGAATTGCGTGCTTGGTGTGGCCAGCTCAAATTCCAAATTTGAACCCAATCAAACACACTTAGGACCAATTTAAGCGATGAGTTCGACGGTGTAACCCGGTCCTAACACCCTAGAAGAGTTGGAAACGGTTGTTGTTGATGAATGGGAAAGAATTCCTTAGGATTTTATCAGAAATATTTTCCAAAGAATTTTTTTATTTATTTTTCCCATCCACCTCCCCGCCGTACCTAAGGGAGATCCCATACCTTGCGGACCACGGCCACTAAACTAATTCAAATGGGATGCAAGTTTAGGGGATCTTATTGTGCTTAACGTCTTCCTTCGACCTTGCCCTGAAAGGGAAGACCCAAGGAAGAAGGGAAATTTTTTTTATTATTATTAATTTATCTAATCTAATAGGTCTCCCCCTTGCTGGTTAATCCTTTTGAATACACTTTCTAATAAATACAATATTTTAATAAATAAATAACAATTATGGGTACAAGGAGTAACCAGCCCGGAATTAAAAGTTCAGGGAAACGCTAAGATCTAACAAGTAACTTATCATAGGAAGAAAGAGAAAGAAAGAAAAAACTAATCAGGTACTTATCCACTATAGCTCGGCTAACGGGCTTGAGGACCTCAAACATCCTCTTTTCTTTAACCAGTTCGTTGAGGGTCGGTGGCCAAGTGTGGCGGAAGAGGAGCTTTAGTGGTTCCCTCACACTATCAAGGAGGGGGCAGTTGAACAGTCTGTGTTGGACACTGTCATCAACTCCGCAGTCGGGACACAGTGGACTGTTAGCTCTACGGAATCGGTGCAAGTAAGCGTTGAAATGTCCGTGACCTGTCATTATTTGTGTGATCCAGAAATCTGGTTGAAACCACTTTGCTTTTGCTCGGTCCTCAATACTGGGTAGAAACTCGTGGGTTAACCTTCCCTTGGTGCTTCTGTCCCATCTTTCCTGCCACAAGTTGTCTATCCAAACTGTAAGGATCTCCCGGATCTGCTTTCTAGGTGCAGTTCGTAGCCTTTCCCTATCTGATGCATCCAAATTTACCATTGTTGGCTCCTTTCCATCTCTTAGCTGCCGGATTGCAATACTGTGGAGGACAATGTCTATTGGTGCAGCGGAAGCAAGGACTTGGAGGGCGTGAGTAGGGGCTGTCCTATAAGCTTTAGTCGTTCTCAGGAGCGCTATTCTTTGACTCTCGAGGATGCTTCTGCTCCTGCTTTGCAATTTTGTTCCCCAAGCTGCACCTCCGTACGTGGCAATGGGCAGGTATACGCTTTTGTAAGTGATGGAGAGCGCCCTTGGACACAGCCCCCATTTTGATTTCGCGATCGAGCTTAGTTTCGAGAAGACGCATCTCGTCATTTCTCTGATCTTGATGGCATGGTTTGTAGGACTTAGCCTTTCTCCCAAAACTATGCCTAGGTACTTTACCTTTTCATTTTCCAACGAATGTAAACGCGTTTAACGGACGTGATTCGTGCGAGGTAGAATACCCGGTCTTAAAGGGTGCAATTTTTTTTTTTTTACATTTTTACTTATTTTTTATGTTCTGTACTCAATAATTTTTTTCGAATTAGGTAATAAATGCTTTCTTTTTAAAGTCTTTATTTTTACAACCAAATCTATTTTCGGTATGCAAAAATGAATGA